TATTAAAACAAAGTACATAACTTCTTATATCAGATTTAATATTTCTTTAGGTTTTGTATATTTTTCACATAAACAATAAATTAAATTATCCGGCACATAAATATTATGTGACCGATCAAGACAAAGAAATCCTGAGAGGAAATGATCGAGGCTTTTAAAGGTTTCAGCAAATAAACAACCTTAAACCGACATGTTTTTTAGTAAACTGCCTCCACTAAAACACGAGAAAGGCAAAGCAAACTTGTGCATCAACAGTGACCTTTGCCCACTTCAAAATAAAAGCGTGGATCTAATTGTTACTTGAATAATTCCTAACAGTCGACAACCAAAACATTTCGAGCTTCTTTCAGCTGAAAGTGTTTACAGCCAAGTAAATCAGCTCTTTAGACCTTATCCAGAAAAATGTATTTAGGGGAAGGTAAGCGTGCCAAACATGGTCAAAGTTAGCAATAGCCCTAAAGCACTAAACTAAAAATTAACTGCACTGTTAACAGGTTAGTGGAAGTGTGACCACTACTGGTCTTCATGATGCCGTTTAATTGCTGATTTTGTGTTTATGAATCTATTTATTAGCTTTTCTAACGAGCGTCGACGCCATTCAGCTGATCAACAATAACCAAATACATCTTTAGAAAATAGTATCTTCTGTTCAGTATTCATTGTCCAATCAGTGTGTACATAATCACGATACTTTGACCCTTTTGAATTCTGCACCTAAACAAAATTGCTACTATAACTAATGAAATCTAAACAGTGTTTAACTAACAATAAGTATTAAAAAATAGCAAACACACTCATAAAACTAACAAAAAACACTTAATTGTTATTCAATCTTATTTATTTTGAATAAACTAATAAAGACGAACAAAAAGTCACAACAAAATAAAACTAAGCAATTTTTTTTTTTAAAACTCAAAGCTGTTAAAACCCTGATGTGGAAAATAGAAGCACCTGATTTTATTTTGGGGCATCATGAAAGGGGCGATAAATATAATTAAATGACACGTGTGTGTGTGTGTGTGTGTCAGCAGAGCTCCATGTGCGACAGCCCCCCCGCCATCCCTCCGCGGCTCCCCCCTCTGCCGAGGAACCAGCACCGGTCTCCGCACTACAACGGCCCCCACTATGACGGACCCCTGCCCAGCCCGCCGCCTCCGCCGCCCCGGGACCCGCTGCCCGACACGCCCCCGCCGGTGCCCCTGCGGCCTCCGGAGATATTCATCAACTACCCGCAGCCGTCGCCCGGCCCGGGCGTGGCCCGCTACAACTGGGACCTGAACAGCTCGCCCAGCTCGCCCAACACGCCGCCCAGCACGCCGTCGCCGCGCATCCCCCGGCGGGGCTTCCCTCTCAGCGCCAGCCAGAACAGCCTCTACCCGCTCCCCACCGCCGCCCCGCCCGTGCCCCCGCGCCACAACCCCGTCCCGCAGCTCCCCAAGCTCCCGCCAAAGACATATAAGCGGGAAGCCCTGCAGCCGCCGCTGCAGAGCCTCCCATTGGTGGAGAACACTGACGGCAGCCAGTGAGTGAGGCTCCGCCCCCGTAAGCCACCAAAAGAACTCAAAGAGCCTCTGATCTGAAAAGAGCAGGAGCTGCTCCGCAACAATCCCGCCACACCTGCCTCGTCCGCTCAGGGGATCAGTAGCTCCGCCTCCTCCGCAAACCCTCTGTGCCAACGACGAAACACACACCGCCGTGCCAGCTAGCAAACAACCCAGCAGCGTCTGCGAGGCGCAGGGACGGCCAGCTGTTTACCCCCAAGGCTCCTCAGACTCCATAGCCTCAACCGCGCTTCTTTCTCCGTTTCTTTTTGGGCATTGACGTCAGTCCGCATTCCCCCTGCAGCTCAGAGCTCCACAACCTCAGAGATCGTCCGAAGCCCTTCCTGTTGGGGAGGCGAGCGGCTGATCTGCTTCGCTTTTGTCTTTTTTGTTTTGTTTTGTTTTGTTTCTTTCCTACTAACTGAAGACAGTTGCCAAAGTCTTACTTTATGCAGGGGGAAAAAGGGATTTCCTTTTTGTTTTTGAAGCGATTCTAAACACTAAACGAAACACTACAAAGTGCTGAATCCCCCCTCCCCCCGCAGCCCCCCTCACTTTGTATCTCAAGCTGTACACTGTGACTGTAAAGTAGCAAACTGTCTGTTTTGTTTTGTTTATTTTGAGGTTGTTTGCCTAAAATCCTCTCCGCAGCCGCAAGAAAAAGTTGCCTTTTTTTTTTCTTAAAAAACAAAAAAAAACAAAAAAGAAAAGTCCAACAGCAGTGACCTCTGACCCCAGTCCTATTGGCCCAGACGGACACACCAGCTGAGCCAAGAACACTCCGTTTGCACAAAGCGTTGGGCAAAGTCAGCAGGTTTAGGTTGGACGGACCTCACTCTACGACACCGACGTCTTAACCGACCCCAGCCGCCTCCTCCACCCAGACGTCGCGCCGCTGTCCGACACTGTGCTCCTCAACTCCAGCTTCTTGATTTGTGTTGAAACTTTTTGCACTGGAAGCATTTCTCCCACCAAAGCTTTCGGAAGAGGGCGGCTCAGCCTCTCACCCTCCTCCTCTCCGTTTCTCTCTCCCCCCCAGCAAGTGCTCCCGATGCCTGAAACCCACGAAGAAGAAGAAAAAAAAAGGAACTTTTTAACCCAACTTCTTCCTCTTTTTTTTTATTTTTATTTTTTTTGTATTTTTCTTTATTTGGCCTGAAACATTTGGTTTCGATTCGGACAGACTGAAACGATCCACGCCTCGCGCTCGGATGTGCCTTTTTAGTTCGTTTTCTACTTTACAGGAATAAAGCAGACGGTGTCTAAAACGCTTAAAAATGGAGAAGAAAAAAAGAAAAAAAAAGTTGCCTATGTAATGTTTAGAACAAAAGCTATACACTATATAAAAAAAAAAGAAGTTGTACGTTTGTTCATGCTGTGTGTATATATAACATGTATACACTGAGTCATTTGTATAAAGTGAAAATCCTTTCCCTCCGCCCTCCTCCCTCCGTCTCAACGTACCATCATCCACCCTTATTTCAGCCTTTTTCTTAAGAATCCAACGCTGCTACAGTGGGCTAAAAATGAAATGTAAAAAATACAAAAAAACAACAAGTCACTGCTGCTAATTTGCAGACAATCTTCAGTTCAGCCACTGCGATTATTTCCCAGGAAAAGCCATTAATTTCCCCCCTGACCTCCTCTGGTGCTTTAAAGCAGTGGAAAGGATCCAGTTTAATACGCCAAGCACTTACATGGACGACGCGTGCTTCACTTTGTACATCCTACTAATTGCCTTCTTATCTCCCTTTCAAAGACTTTTTAATGCTTACCCTCATCAGACAGAGGTTGGAGTAGTATTAAAGTTGCAATGGAATATATTCAAGTCACATGTTTTGGTGCGTAGTAAAGAATTGGGGGGTGGGTTTTTTTCTGTGTGTGTTTTGTTCTTTTTGTTTTTTTTTTTTTGTTTAGGATTTTTTTTTTGGGAGTAACACACTTTGTGCACTTTAGGCTGTACTGTTTAAGAGCCAGTTGTCACAGGAATGTTTGTAAATGCAGTGACCCTGGGCAACACGGATCAGGCCAGGAAAGACACAAGTCTACCACCTCAGTTTGTTTCTTTTCTCTATTTTTCCTGACATGTTCCATCTCACCCGAACGCTCGCTCGCTTTTATATATATATATTAAAAATATATATATATATGTATAAATAAATTTTGCTCATTCACTGAGTTCAGGTAAAAGGAGGAGGAGGATGATGGGAGTTTTTCAAACTAGTCTTGCAACGCGGTGTTTGGGAGGATTTTCATTCTGGTTTCATGTGAGAACACTTTTGTCGTTTTTTTTTTTTTGTCTCTGTTTTCCCCGTCTCAGTCTCCCGTGTCAGTATTGATGGGCTTGATCTTACCAAGGTTTCTTTTGTTGTCGTCGTTTCAAACCGTCCCTCTCACCTCCACCCACCCCCATCCTCAAAATAACTATTGAGTTCTGTTGATGGCACTGTAACAGCTTGATCCAGCAATCAGTTTGTTTGATGGTATGTGGCCTTTTAACTGCTTTGTATTAATGATCTTGATGAGATTAATAAATCACCCAGTCTTATTTTGTACTGAACCACTTATTTCTCATTTGTTTCTTTGTGCAAGCCGGAGCTATGAGACATTTTGTCAGGTTTTCTTGTTTCCTATTGTAGTCCAGAGAAATGGAGAGGAAAGACTCGTCATCAAGTCTTGGCAGATTTCCTTCCAGATCTTCTTTGTATTTATTTTCCCCGTCACTGCTGGAAAAAAAAAAAGATTCCGTAACCTTATTTGAAGGTGTGCATAAGACTGACACAGGTCAGTAAATTCATTAAATGACACTTTTAATGACTATGTTAAAATTGTCAACTTGGCATTAATAATGTGATTTATTCGCTGGATGGCATTTCATGACAACAGTTGTAAACGTTCACAAGGACTCCTTCATGTTCATATCAGCTGTTATGTTTATGTCAGTGTTATGCACACACCTTCAAATAAGGCTACCAAACAAATCTCCACATGATGCAACCAGCAGGGAGATCACACGTTCAGTTCTGTCTTGTTATATACAGAACTGATATGTCTATATATATGAACACATGGCAAACTGAACTTCCTGTGACTTCCTGTTTAATAAGCTTCCAGCTTTTAAGGAACATCCTGGAATGGGGAAAAGCTTTTTTCTTCCAGCTCTTCCTTAAAGGTTGAGTTCACCGTTCCGCTGCAGCTCCTCCAAAGTAGCTGGTTATCGTTTCTCCTTTTTAGCTTGTCTGATTGGGCAGTTCGCTAGAAAAATGCATTCAAAATAAGGGGCTTAATTTATAGTTATTAGATGGTAATAAAATACTAATAAGTGACTTTATTTTATTCCAACTTGAGCAGTCCCAGCTTTAAAGCAAATATTTGACTTCAGAAAATCCCTTCAAGCTCAATTTGGGAAGCTTTGTGACCCGGGGATCCATTCAACCAGAGGCAGACCAGCACACCAAACATCGCAAATGGATTTATTCAAATAAAGAGGGTGTAGATGTTTTGCTTTTCAATTTTTGTTTTTCTTGTTAAAAAGTCAAACTGTGCTGCAGGGTCCCTCGCTGTCCTCACTGTCCCACAGTCCCCCCCCGTCCACAGCTCGCTGCTGAGCAAGCGCCGGCCTGAGGACAAAAAGACACAAAGCACCGGTCAGGTTGGTTTACCTTCAGTCTCGTCATCGTAAATTTGACGCGTTTCTCTTCCTGGCCGGAACGATGACGATGATGCAACAAACGACACAACATAAAACCAAATGATCGTTGTGACCTCATCCACACATACAAGGTGTGAAGTGTTTAAAAATATGGTCAGATCCAGGAAACCAACCGAGAATAATATAATTTTTTCTTTTTTCTTTGATAAAAACTGACCATTTTAACTGGACAAATAGAAAAACTATCCATCCAGAATGACACCAATTTATTTTAACATAGATATATTGGCATAAATTATTTATATATCTTGCTTGTTGGAGAGATTTGACATGAAAACATGCGCACACGCCTTTGCATTATGAAATAAAAGTTCAGTCAGTCATTTTATTTTACTTTTGATCTATAAGATCGAAGGCCACGATGAAGACGGCGGCTCATCTTCCATGTGAAGCCAATGCATCGTTTACTGCTGAGGTTACCTCAGGATTTCCCTGCTGGGAGCGAAAGCTTGGAAGTTGTTCCTCGCTGGACCTGGAGCTGGAAGTGGAACAAACCCAGCAGGTCTGTTGTCTCTCTCCGGAGCGGAATCGGCCTGATCCAGACGGTCGTTCACATTTAAAGGAACAGGAAGAGCATCATTATGTCAATATGCTTTGATCCGATCTAGAACATAAGAATAAGAGTTAATTTGAATTTATTTGATTTTTCATTGTTTTAGAAACGCGTAGATTCTTGAAAACTAATCTGATTTTGTTTGCTGTTATATCTTTTGGCCACACGGGGGAGCCAAACTCAATATAATCTCCATTTCTTCTTGCATTGTTGGGGTTTGGGTTTAGAGGTGTGTACCGTGCACACACACACACACACACACACACACACACACTCACACGTTTGTCATTCTGTTTTCACAAGTATTGTATTGACTTCTGTTCATTTATCATTTATTTGGATCCTTGCGCTAAAAACCTCAACTCAATTCAAACCTTAAACTTAACTAACCCAAAAACAGCATTTTAACAGCAGTCGTTCCTCACACCTGGTAATAGTTAGGAAAATGATCATTACACGGTATCAAAAACAAGGCCACACATTACACACATACACACACACCCACACCCACACACACACACATACACCTCAGTCCAATTTAGAAAGACCAAATAAGCTAACATGCATGTTTTCCCCATCCCAGGATGTTCCTTAAAGTATTCCCAGTCCTCGGGACTCACTGTCCCAATCAGCTTGGCAAAAAGTTCAGCACAGGTCCTTTTAGAGAAAATTCAATTTCATTACAAGTGAAGAAGCAGGGAAACATCTAACATGTGCGGGATCCTAAGGATTAAGATTGAGTTGCAAAGTTTTGGCTTCCTTTTATTCTCAGCTTTGGGAATTTTTATATACCTAGAATTTTCAGAATTTTGTCACGTTATAGCATTAAGCATTGTTGTTATTTCTTGAGATTTTATGTGTCAGACACACATAACGGAGCCAAAAGTGGGATGATTTTGATCACAGCACACTCGTATCTTAGAATGACCGAGTCCAGAACTTGATTGAGGATCAGCGACAAGATATGAAAATGAAAACATTCTAGAGCTAAAAGTCCTTTAGCCATGCAGAAGTTGGATCCAAGCAAACAAAATGTTGAAGTACCTGCTTGGATGGATCGTCCCAGATGGGCCTGAAGGCACTTTTCAGATGTGGAGGAGGCGACCCTGTCCTCAGGCTGACCAACCTCTTCCCAAAGGAGCTGATGAGGCAAGGCGTCGGCCCGTCCACATACGGTCCTGCGGGGCTCCTGATAGGAGGGTGAGGGGTAAATCTGGGAACCTGCCACCTCACGCACACAGTTCTGCCTCTGGTTTCCCCCGCCGGCGCCGGCTGCTCCTGCCGGCTGAACGAGGGCTTCAGCAGCACGGGCACCTGGCTGTCCTCCTCGTCGTCGTCGTCCTCCCCGCTGTTGGTGTCCATCGCCTCCCTCCGCAGGGTGCCGTCCGGGCTGCAGGAGGTGACGGAGGAGTAGTCGAAGGCGGAGGTGTCGTCCGTCTCGCTGTGTGCGTGCGTCGTCTCCGGGTCGTTGGTGGACTTCACCGTGGGCTGGCTGAAGGTGCCCTGACCCGAGTCGCTGTTTTCTCCCCATCCTGCGACGTCCGGAGGGAGCAGAGAGCAGCACGCGTGACCGCAGTGGCAGACTGGCTGCCTCAGGGCGGCCCGGTCTCTCAGGAAGCCCTTCCTCCTCACCGGGCTGCAGGACCAGCACTCCAGGCGCATGGACTGACCGCCATCCACCCCGTTGGTGAGGGGAGCAGCCGGCTGGACTTCTCTGAGACGAAAAGGACTTTCAGCAGGGAAATTTGAATCGTCAAGATCTCTAAGCTACTGCAACAACACCGAGGTCGACGTACCTCTGGGCAGCAGAGCTGGACTCCGCTCTTATCTGCTGGCTCCTCGTGCAGCGGCCTCCAGAGGACGTGGCGTCACAGGGGGCGCTGTTGGTGTCAGGAGATGAACCTCTCAGCGTCAAATTATGACTAACATTTAAAGATTTGAGTTCAAAAGTCAAATCTGATCAATGAAACACATGACTGTTGCATACTAAATGTGAGAAACACAATAAAAATGGGTGGCAGACGCTGTAAAAAATTTAAATCTGGTGCTAAAGTTGAAACTTTCTCTAATTCACAAAGGGTCAAACTTACAGAATGAACAACATTTGATTAAACATGCAGAATTCATCCAGGCAAAATTGGTAGAATGAACTGATTCGTGATTCAAACTGTTACAAACGATAAGCGGTCAAAGCCACTGGAGAAGTTTGATTTGTCATCTCCAAATCCAGTTTTTAAGTGCATTTGGACTCAATGTCCAGTTGCAGCTCCCTGTTTCAACCATTTGACCCAACCGAACATGAACGGGAATCGGTCAAGAGGCTCAAGATCAATCCTGGAATCACCAAAGCGCCAGGCAGTAACGGACTGGAAGAGTTTCTGTCCACAGTGGAGACAGCTCAACATCACCCACTGAGCTACTTGGTCTCAGGTGGAAGTTAAATCTTGGAGGACTCAAAACAACTCCACACTAAATTCAGGCTCGAGCAGCAAGTTCTGTTGTACGGCGCATCATCACCATCATTCCACCATGAAAAAAAAAATGGCCCAAAAACATCAGTAAAAGCCCCAAATAAAGACCATCTAAACTTTTCAACATTGGATCTCTTCTGTCCTGCAAATCACTCTGCGGCTGCACTTCCTCACCTTTGCCCGGCTTCCTCGTCTTCCTCCCATCGAACATCCTCCTCCAAGATCACGTGACAGCGGGACAGAACGCTCCTCAGCGCGCTCTCAGACCCCAGCAGCAGGCTGCAGTCGGGATGCTCCTTACCGGTCCACTGCAGCAGGCTCTTGGACAGGAAGTTAAGTCAGTTGTGAAATAGTTGAACATTTCATGCGTCGTTGCACGTACACGAGCCTGTGAAAATCCTCCCCACGTTCATACTGCAGCCGCAAACTCACGTATTCTGAATTCTGGGATCGGCTTTGGTTTTGTTTCTTTTATAAAACCCAGTGAAATTCGTGAATAGAATCTGTCGAGTGCCGACGATACAGGGAGCCAAATTTAAGACTTTTTAAGACCTTTTTTTAATGTCAGCCAGAAGGACATTTAAGACGAAATAAACCTGCAAATATAAGGGATGACTAAGAAATTATGCTGGCTCTTGTTGGCTGGGAACAGAAGTGAGGCAGTGGCAAAAACAAGTATTGTCCAAATGAGCGATGATACTTTTACCTATGAGATGCAAAAAAGCCTACAGACAAACAGCTAGCAGCCAGTCGCCGCCGCCTCAAGACACTGAAGATGCCTCAAATCAGCGCCATGATGAACAAAACTACATAAGAGATTAAATAGTATAGCCACAGCAAACTTTAAGACTTGTGCTTAGCATATATAAGGCTAGCTTACATTTTTTACAATGAATTTGGGATTTTTAAGGCCTTAACACTTAGACACAGCACTTTAAGACTTTTTAAGACTCTCTAAGGATGCACAAACATCCTGTGCTAGTCTTGCCACTGAGAAACGCACTTTTTAAAGAAAGTCAGATGAAGTGACTTTACAGACGACACAGCAGACGGCTCTCCTCATATCAGACCAGAACTGGACCTTCGTAGCCTGTTTTCTAAACACTAGCTAAGTTAAAACGGCACATCGATCCCCCCAAAAAATTTAAAACACGGTGGTGGCGGCGTCATGGTGTGGGGGATGCTTTTCTTTCAGCACTTCCACAAAGTATTGACTCATGGGGGCTGAAGAGAATAGCATGCCACAATTTGCACTGTAATATTTTCATAGAAAAGCAGAGCGCCTTCAGTCAGAGGCTTCTTTCTTCCAAATTCGTTGTGATACAGACCGCTACAGGAGCACAATGTTGTGTTGACCCACCGCATAAAACACATCCGGGTCCCTCACCTGAATGTGGCTCAGGTAGCTGTGAATCCGAGCAACGGGAGCCAACAGCAGAGAGAGCAGCTTCACTTCGTCTCTCTCGGTCTGGCCGCTCTGTGGGAACGACCGGAAAGCTGTTGCCATTGGCGACCACCGTCCACCGGCGTGACGTCAGCACGTTGTCGCGCGTTCACCCACCTGCGTTTGGAGGCTTTTCCCTCGCCGACTCAGCCGGTTGAACTCGAGCGAGAGGAACGACGCCAAGGTCGTCGTGTATCCGAGATACATGTCTGAAAAAGCTGTCTGGACAACCAGAGGGAGAGTCAGCGGCCCGACCGGAGCGAAATGACCGGAAGTGACCGAGAGAGAGAGAGAGAGAGGGCGAAGCTCACGTCGTTGTGGCCGATGAGCTGCACCAGGATGTCGCCGACCAGAGACTTCCAGTGCTCGGCGGACAGTCTCTGCTGCAGGGTGTCCCTGAAGAGCACGTGCCGCTGCAGGAGCCGCTCCACGAACCTCGCGTGCGTCTGCCTGGGGGACAGACGCACGAGAGGAAAACCTCTCTTGACTCCTCGCGCTCTCAGTGACGCAGAAGCGGCGTTAACGCGGTTCTAACACTCACTGCGGCTCTCCGGGCGTCAGGTGAGCTGGCGGCGCTTTGTACCTGTCGCTGAGCTGGTTCAGGGTCGACACGTACTCCCACTCGGAGTGCAGGAGCTGCATGGCCACCTGGTGTCGAGCATCTGCACAACAACACAGAAAGTCGGAGCAGCGGCCAGGAGCGGCTGCCGTAAAGCCGCTTGGCCAGCAGAGGGCGCTCAAGAACGACTTGGTTTCTCTCACGTGAACCACAACTTGGGAATGAAAATGTGTAGTTGACCTTTTATGGGTCTCAATTTGAAGGATTAAGAAAAATAATAATAATAACTCAGGATTAAAAAAGCAAAAACAACTAACAAAGAAAAACCTTTGTAGTGTAATTTACAGTAATTGTATGTTGAAAACAAGATAAATAAAAATATCTATTTAAAAAAAAAATCTTCTTTTTTAAGGAGTTTGGTAAGGTGGGGCCCAAATAAAATCCTGCTCAGGGCTGAATCTAGAATGTATACCCAGCTCTGGTCAAAAACTGTTTAGAAAGCTTTTGAATCCAAGAGCAAATTGCTTCAATGGACCGGAACGTTTCAGAACCTCAGGCCTGACCTGTTCCTTCGCTCAGCCCGGCCTTCAGGCCCTGCAGGAAGCAGTGAAGGAGCAGTTTCCCTCTGGACAGGCCGGCCCGCGGAGGAGCACAACACTCGCAAACACCCTGGTCACCGGCTGGCTCTGCCGGATCGCTGGGGAGCGACAGGAGACAGATGGAGAGAAATTTCTCAGCTGGTCTGACGTATTTTTCAGTGATTAAAAATAGCACACGTTTTGCTGCCTGCTGCATTTATCCAATCTGAAAACATTTAAAAATTGAAAATCCTCCTCTGTGGTCTGATGAGACGGCACACGACACAAATCAAGAATAAGTAAAGAAATAATAAAGAAAATAAACTCAACACTAAATAGCAATTAGTAGTGATAGTCCCAAGGACACACATTGCGTATGTGTGTATTCATATTACACTTATAATAATGTAATACACAATATAATGCATAATAAATAACAGATATATGAATATATATCACAATAATCAATAAATCAATTGATAAATTAACACACACTCAGTCATTTCCCTTGGCATAATTTATCATTTTTCTCTTTCTGCCAAAAACTAGATGACAAAAGTCTTTTTGGAGGATCATTTTGTTTACAGAATAATTCATTTTATTTGTTGTTTCTGTTGTTTTCTTCATTTATGTCAGAGATTTAAAATGTCTTCCGGTTCCTGAGCTAAATGTTCATTACAATTTAAAGTTCAATGATGTTTGAGAATGTGTTTTTGCATTATTATTATTATTATGCCGTTATCATTATGTTACTTAAAAATTGTCTCACGACAACAATATTTACTGCGATAACTTCTGGAGCAATTTATCGCCCAGCAAAATTTGACAGACCTCTGTGTAACATAAGGGACTCAAAATGCCTGTTTGGATTTCCGTCCTTCCAAGCCAGACTAAACATTTCTGGTTTCTTATCTGTTGTACCTTTCTCTTGGTTTGGATGTGAGGCTCTTTCCGTCCGGCTCAGGCCCGGCCCTGTTGGAGTACAGCTGCACAATTTGACTCCTCAGCACTCCAAGTTCCTCCTGTGGGATGGAAATTTTTTTTTTTTAAAATGGCCCAGTCACAGTCGAACGTTGACCCCTGTCGCCGTACGCTGGACGGACGGACGTCCGGCCTCACCCTCAGCGACTCGACCAGCGCCTCCAAGCGGAAAGCTTTTTTCTGACAGCTCCTCCTGTTCTCCTCCATCTCCTCCCTCAGGTGCGAGTCTCCATGCTGGATCTGGCCGAGTTCCAGCAGGGCGCTGGTGAAGCCCGTCTTCAGTTCTGTCACCATGCACTGCAACTGCAGAGGCGCACAGTGAACGATGGCAAGGAGTCACAGTGGCTTGATCTTTTCTGAAACGGCTTCCTGTCACAACCATGAACTTTGTTTTGCAGGATTTTAACCCTTTTCATGCATGAATTATGATCCTATCCTACTTTTTTTTTTAAGGCATAAAAAAGTGTTAGAAAAAAAATGTGTAAAACCTTTTTTGATTATTTTATTTGTTTTAGGGAAAACAGCAGAAGTAGGGACGGAGTCGGTTGGCATGCTTTGTGTCTGTCGGCCATATTGGATTTGACAAAAGTAATTTCTTGCATTTGCAGCTGGTGGCCGGTCATCTGCAAATGACAGTGTATGTTATGATGCATTAGTGTCTACTTCAGTGGTCTGTGTGCATTTCTAACATAAAAATCCACAGGAAAAATCCACAAGAAAATGGCTTTTAGATGAAAGGGCATGATGGTTGGTTGCAGTAGTGACCACCACATGACCTTTCTTTTTCATTTTTTTTTCATTTTTTAATAATGTGACAAAATGACAACTTTTTTAGACAACTGCCTTCTTTAAGAAAATTTTGTCATCTTTTTTAATAACCAGTGTTTTGTTTTCATATCGAGGGTTTAAAATCAAGATAAACAAACATAAAATGCATGAATATATATCTAAAAAAATATATAATTCCAACCTAATGACAAGGAAAAACAGCCCTAAAACTCTTCAGGAAGAGCAAACAAACAGACAGAACCACAATAAAATTAAAGTGCATCGATGTTTGAAGGGTCTAGTCAAAGTTCAAACTGAATCTGACTATGAAACCGCCCAGTGTGACTAAGAATTACAGCCTAGATGTGTGAACTGACATTCAAAATGTCTTATTTTTAGAGAAAAACACTGAAAGACACATTTCATTTCCTTCCCCTCAACAATTCTAAACCAATCATTTCCCTATTCAATAAAATACGTTGAATTTTGTGGCGTTCTCTTATAAAACGAAGCTGCAGCCCAACGATCTAGCACACTGGAGAGGCTTCATCTGCTGCCACCATGGAAGGATTCAGCGTCTCTTTAACGCAGCGAGCTCAGCTGATGACGGGAAATTTACCTTTGAGATTTCAGAGACGAGCTCTGCCTCTTGAGGCTTCATGACCTTTGCAGAGAGAGACACAAACACGCCTGTTTGCAAGCTGTGCAGCCCGTCTGACGGCTTCAGGGATGAAAGCCTGTCTACACACAGTTTCTACTTCAAAAATGGTGAATTTTTTATTTTTATTTTTTTTGTCTTTTTTTTTTTTTTTTTTTTGCTCCTCGTGTTCTTGTGTTTGTGTTACCTGTTCAGATGTTGCTCCTGCCAGCAGACCCTCTGCTAAGGAAGCGGCGAGCGAGCCAACAGAGCCGAGCCCCGCGGGGGGGCAGAGGGGGGGAGCTGCTCCAGGAGCCAAGATCCCTGCTTATAAATCTGCAAACAGACGGGCGGGCAAAACCCGGAGAGACCCGTCAAATTGAATTCGATCACAGAAAAAGCCAAACGACGTTTGTGGTTGAAACGGCCGTCAGGGCAGAACCCGGCAGAAAGCAGGCGACGTTTCAGTTGATCCTATATGTTAGTAATCATGTATCACGGGCTGTAACGTCACCCTGAACTTTGAAAAAATCCTTGTTGCGACTTAAACGACACGTAACCGTCCAGGCATCCTTGACTAAACCTTCAAATAAAAATAACTTGCGTTGCAGAAAGAGTTGGAAAACACTCGCCTGGCTTGTCGGCGTTCTTCCGCTTTTCCATCCAGTTAGAAATAAAAAATGTGCGTTCAGCCCCGGAGTCCTTAGCCGTCTCGTTTCCGCCCGCTTCCTGCGGCTGCTCTGTGTCGTGTGCTGCTCTCGGTGCCGCAGGTCTCCCTCCTGACAGGAGGCAGAGCTTGTAGCTGCATCAGAGCAAGGATGCAAAGCACACTGCAAATCAGAGGGGTGGAAGTGTCTGTTGTCGTCTGTGACATTCATAATGAGAAATTATTCTATAAGGATCTCCTAGATCAGAGGTCTGCAACCTTTACAACCTGCAGAGCCACTTTTACTGCAAATGAAACTGTTTTGAATTGATATAGGAGATACTGGGAATTTGAATGGTTTTAAAGAACCACCATTTTATTTAGGATTTGAAATCAAGGTGAAGATAAAATTTTGCAAAAAGGGGATGCATCTTTCTTTTTTTTTTCCTTCGGTGGGATGGAAAATACTGAAATTCAAGAAAGCATATGGATTCCGACTTAATGATGAGAAAATCTGTGTTGAAGATATATTAAATAAAAGTATATATAATTCACACACACAAAAAAAACTCTTAATAACTGAGAATATTTTAGACTAATTTCGGTCATTTTCTGGGAACAACTTGAAACAAAATCTTCGACTTTGTAAATTCTCTCTTTTTTTTCTTTTTCTTTTTAACTTCTCTTTTTCTACCCACAGCAGCCCGATACAATACATCATCGTAAAAATCAGATCTCAAAACAAGACATCACTGGCTCTTTCAGTGTCTGTCGTGGGAAATTCAGTGCAAATATCGCTGCGAACCTAAAAAGGTACATTTATTATGAAATATAAAATAAAAAGTATTCGCCGTCTTTTTTTTTTATTATCATTGTTTTTTAGCCAAAGTTATAAAGAGTCATATAATAGAGGGTCCAAAGAGCCACTTGTGGCTCCGGGACCGCGGGTTGTAGACCCCAGATGGATCTTTATTTCTGTTCTTACTTTACAATTACAAACTTAAATGCCTTTTGGGAGGAGTTTACATGTAGGAAAACACAAAGTAGAGGATACTTGTGATGTGGAAGTAAAAGGATTGAGGGTTATTATTGAAATTAGGTCTGGACTTTGACTGGGCCACTCCATAAAACGAATTTAATTTGATCTAAAATCGCTCCATTGCGTCTCTGGTCGTGTTGTTTTTGGGGGGCAGGGGAGGCACCCTGCTAGAAGCTGAGCCTGTTGCAGTTTCAATGCTTTCTTCCAAAATTCAATGATATTCTCATCAACGGGTTTCCCTGTCCCTGCTGAAGAAAGGGATCCCTCAGTATTCTGCTGCCACCACCATGTTTCAAGGTCAGAGTGGTGTGTTTGGGATGATGTGCAGCCTTAGTTTGCTTTCTGATTAACAAACCTCTGAGACTTCACAAAAAAAAAAGAAAGAAAAATCTATATTTATATTAAGATTATTATTTTACATATATATATGACTTTTTGAGATCGAAAAGAGTGGGGGTTTTTTTAAGTCAAAATATTCACAACAATTCATAGTGACAATCATAGTGCGCATTGTAGAGGATGTTCCTCTTTAGTTGTTTACATTTTTACTGGACGATATTTTACCGTTCACCGGCGTCCTGCATGTTTCACTTCTCTCCCCGGTGGCAGCGGCGACCTTTTCCGCAGGTCAATGTTCTTCTCAGGCCTCTTAACGAGCCATTATTGGGTCCAGGTGCGTCAAACCAGGGAGGGAACTAAACCCCGCAGGACGCGGGCCCCTGCGGAGAGGCAGCCTTCGAGATTTCGTCGCCTTCACTCCGCCCCTCGCTTGGGTGAGCTAGGACTATAAATCGAACGCCCACTCCTCGGTCCTGCCGCGCGGCGGTGGGCGGAGTTACGAGTCGGCTCCCGGATCTGATTGGACGACGGCTTTGTGGCGTTTTAAAATCGCAGCGCTTTGAACTGGCTGTCTAAACAGCGGGCGACGAAGAGAGCGACGAAGGTGGAGAGTAAACACATTTAATCTCTGTTTACAGACTTTTAGCTCTTGAAACCTGTAGAACTGCTTGCTGCCTGGATAGTTAGTTTAGAGACTTTTTAAAATGACGCAGCTGACGTTTCACCAGAACTTTAAAACCTCGTTAACACGTCGGCATGAAGTGGCTCTGACTCTGTGCGGTGTTGTTGTCTCTCATTGCCCGGTCTTCTCTCTCAGGCATCTGAAGACATGAGGAGGATCGTGTTCGACTCTTCCTCTGATGAAGATGAGGGAGGAGCGCAGCAGACGCCCCTCCATATCAGCTGGTACGTGGCGGCCATCCAGCCCCCTGAAGCACTTCAATGGGCTCATTTCAGTGACTTTTGCCTTTGACACAAAGCGGAAGTAGAAAGTGCCCTGTGTGTTTCTTAAACATTCTCCTGTTGTATTTGTGACTGGCTTTCAGGTTGCCTCTGTCCATGGTTGAGTGCTCACAGTACCTTGGAATATGTTCGCTGCCAGGTAAAGTCTTGTTCATCTGCAGGTCTGTTTTAGGACATTTGTTTTGTTCTGATGCGTTTCTTCTTTTTCCAGGTTGCAGGTACAGAGAGGTTCGCAGGTCACTGCAGAGAGACGTCGGTAAGGCCGTGAATTACTCGGATCAGACGTTAAAGCTGCAGTACGTCACTTTCTGTGAAAATATGTTTTTTTGTTGTTGTTTTTTAACATTTGAACTATTACCATGTATATGAGACAGATCTGTGAAAAGACCCGTCTCTTTCCTGTGGTCTGAAGACACAAACGCGCTGCTCCAAAGACACCCAATCAGAGCCAAGAGGAAGGTCTTACCGCTGTCAATCACCTTTGTGAAAATGTTACTGAACAACTCACAATGGCAGTTGTTTTTTTATTTTATTTTTTTTCCCCTGCAAATCTCATACTTTGCTGTCAGCACATGATGGTTTCAACAATTGCGTAAAAAAAAACATATTTTTATAAAAGTTGCATACTGCATTCGGTAGTGCGTTTTATGCTGTTTTATTGACGGGCATTTTAATCTTTGAACTCCGTCGTGGAAAATGACAAATTTGTCTGAAAAGAACTCTCATTCCTTCCTGCGACCAGATGAGCTGAAGAACCAGGGGGTGCAGAATGTGTTCGTCTTCCTCTCTAGAGGGGAACTGAGCAAGTACAGGGTCCCGTCCCTCCTGGAGGTCTACAATGAACACGGCTTCACGGTGCACCACACACCGCTCCCCGACGGAGACGTTCCCGAGCTGGAGCAGTGCTGCCAGATCCTGGACCAGCTGCAGGTCTGCCTCGAGAAGAACAGGAAGACAGTGGTCCAGTGAGTCAAGTGAACACACACACACACGCGGGTCACATCAGGGATGTATTTGAAATGATCTCCAAATGCTGAAGTTTGTTCTCTTGCCTCTCTGAGGCTCGATGAAACTTTGACTAAATTAAATGAACGAAAAAATTCTAGGCAGCAGCAGTTGAATTTATATAGCTCCTCTCGCAAAAAAAACACAAAGCCAGGAGCATAAAATTTTAATATTAAATGAAAACAAAGTGAGAGAAAAAAAAAATTCAATAAAATTGAAGCAAATTTAGAATATTTAAAAAAGGATCTTAAGCTTCATTTGCTTGTGAGTTTTAGTCAAGTATTTTTATTTAAAAACATGCCATTCCTGGTCAGTCGATTTGCAGTTCTTGGAACAACCATCAGATTTTGGTTTGAGGACCTGGAGGATTGAACAGTTCAGAGATTTCAGAAGGAGTCTGATTATGAAGGAACCTGAATGTTGGAGTCAAGGTTTTAAAATTTCATTCAGCTGAACTCAGAAGTAAATATTGAAAAGACAGGAAGGACGTCAGTTCTTCTCTCTGTTCCATTTAAGTGTTTTGTTTTGTGCTGATGCATCATAATATTCTAAATCAGAGGAAATGAAAGCTTTTTTTTTTTTTCTTTAAGACCGACCTTTATTGTTTATCTTCTGCAAGTAAAGATCCTGTCTTCTGGTCACAACAAAGCCTTCTGAACTGACTTTGCCTTCTCCTTTCCTCCTGCAGCTGCTACGAAGGCCTGGGCCGATCTGCTTTAAGTGAGGACAGTCTGCTTTTCATTCGACGTTCTCGTCTGGCCTTTCTCTTAACTCGCAGCGTTTGTTTCCCCTCTCAGTCGCCGCCTGCCTGCTGCTCCATCTCTCGCCGACGATGACGGCCGACAAAGCCATCGAGATCCTCAAAGAGCACAGGGGAGGAGGAGCGATTCAAACGGTGAAGGTGAGGTCAGATGGAAGGATTTTGTTTTTCTTGATGAATAAGGAATTCAGAACTCTTCAATTTTTTTTTTCTTTTTGCAGCAATACAATTTCCTTCACGAGTTTAAGGAGAAGTATGCCGCCTACAGAGAGAGCAGAGAGGCTCCCGCAGAAAGATCAGTGTCTCGGTGATTATGGAGATGGTCTCTAAGCGTTTGCATTGATTTCTATTTGCTGGTGATTAACTCGCCAAGAGCTGCACTTTGAATATTGTATCACTTCCTTTGAGCTTTTAAATAAGCCAAAGGACTTGGTAACAGAGCACGATTTGGCTTAAAATCTTAAATAAAAGCCTGTGTTGAAGCATTAAAAAAAAAGTGAGATGTGTACATTTTCTGTACCAAAATCATTTTAAAAACATCCACTGCACAAGAAAAATAAAATAAAAAAATAAACTATGCAGAAAATTTCAGTGTTTTGGTTTTATTTTGAATAAGTTTTCTAAATGTGACATTCGATATAATCCATAAAACTGAGTGAAGATGGCGTTCTGGTAAATTGACTGGTGCAAAATGAAAGATTGCTCTGACCACTGGAAGCTTCAGCTAAATGACTTTTATTGAACTAAAGAAGTTTTGACAGAGATGCAGGAGTGCTTGATGTCACAGGAAATCATATAAAAATCCAGTAAACAATAAATAGACCGGAGATGCTGACAACATGAACTATTTGTGTTCAAATCAACCAGAAACGGATCAAAAGGTACGATTCGACAGTATGGCACGTCAGCAGGTTGCTACTGAAGCTCTAAAACGTGGAACACGTCGCTGTCGAGTCGGCCTCTCGCTTAACTCAGAGATACAAGAGAAAATTTACAGAAAGTAAACACATGATCACCTAAATATTGGACAGGTGGGTAGATTTTAAATATTGAAACAATTCATTGGAAAAACAACCTGATAAGACCGTGTGTGCATCGTGTTTCACTACAAGATAACTCATCTTTTATTCCTTCAGTCCATGTTTAGTCTGAACAGATTGAACCGTCTGCAGCTAAGATCTTTGATAATTAACTACCTGGTCATAGTACATCAGCTGTAAGACAAAAAAAACCCCTAAAGCAGATCAACACACGGTTTAGATTCACACACACAAACCTCAAATCATAATCTGTAAACACTTGAAAGCAGGGAGCAAAGATGGAAAACAATTTTTATTTAAATCAAGCACTAGAAAAAAAAATGGAGCAAAACGATTAACTTGTCCATTGAAATTTGTCCATATTTTCAGAATTTTTTTTACGTTGTAGTGCTTTGACAGAAACGCTGCGACCAAGAGTCTTTAGAGGTTGGAAGTTTCCAGAATGACTCGCTGCACTGTACGTGTGTGTGTGTGTTTGTCGGGGGGGCTCATCCACTTGAAATGACGGCTCGTGTTGCTCATCAGTGGTCTCCAGCAGGTCCAGTGTTCCAGCACTTGGATCGTAGTGTCTGGTCATCTACTGTACGGCCCGGTCCGTTTCCCTCCACCGTCTTTAGGAGCTCACCAGAACATAGATCATTCTGGAAGAGACAGATTAGGATTACGATCGGGTTCACTCAGTCGGCTAATCTTACCGACCGCAGCCAGTGAGGTTATGTAACACCTTCAACATTTGTGGCTGACAAAATGAAAAAAACGACTCAGAGTGTTGTCACAATTTATATATGCTGAAAATTTGCAGTTTGACATAAACAAATTGAGGAAAATACACCATGTTCCAAATTATTGTGCAAGTGATATTTTCTTAAATGGTCAAGGCAAATGATGGTCTGTATATTTCTCAAAGTCTAACTATTACAGTATAAATTTTACTAAACAAAGCTCCCCATGAGAACAGTATTTTTTTTTTCAAAAATAAACTCAAAATGCTCTGTTCCAAATTCTTATGCACAGCAGATTTTCTCAACATTTTATGGATTATAAAGAACTGCAAACGGTCATTCTTTGAATGTGGAGCATCAAGTGGACACATGTACTAAAATCAAAAGCTATTCCAATCAAAAACATCTTAACAGACCGAGTCACATGTTAACATAGAACCCGACCAGCTCCCTCTCTCCCCATGATTTGGGCCCAACGCATGACTCCACCGCCTCCTTGCTGACGTGTTGGGACATGGTTGGCCATCCACCACCAATCCACTGCTGCATCCATCTGGACCATCCAGGGTTGCACAGCAGTCATCAGTGGACAAGTCTATTTGAAAATGAATCTTCATGTACGGCTGGGCCCACTGCGAGCATTTCTGCTTGTGAGCTCTGGTTAGGAGCCCAATAGTCGGTTCATGCACCGCAGGCCTCTGGAGGATCCCACCTTCAGGTCCAGAGGCTCCAGCAGCTTCAAATGACTGTTTGCTGCTTTGTAAGGGCATTTTAACAGCTGCTCTCTTAATCCCATAAATTTATCTAACAGAAACCTTCCTCATTATGCCTTTATCTGTACAAATCTCTTCACAGTACGATAACGCTTCAGTTTTCGTTAAATACTTAATGTTTTCATATCTTGTCATACGGCACTATGACAACATCTGATGATGTTCGTCAGCAGAGATTTTTTCTCTTTCCCATATTGCTTGAAACTCATGGCCTGCTTAATAATGTGGAACATCCTTCTGAAGTAGATTTCCTTTAATTGAGTTCACCAGACAAACTAATCAACCAGCTCTCTGAAATTAATTAATTCAAAGAGCTCTGACACACAATGCCACCTATTTATTTAATAGCATAACAAAAAATTAAATCCAATTTGCATAATAATTTGGAACACTGTGTATACATTTCTTTACTGCTGTACTGGAAGTGTTTCTGGCGCAGTCGTCAACCTTCTCACGTTTTTGACAACACAAATCTAAAACTTTAGTTAAATAAAGAAAATAAGCCTCTTTGGCATTCAATTAAATTGTATCTAATAGGTCAGGGGTAGCAACCTTTATCGCTTAAAGAGCCATTTTGCTCTCAGGAAATGACAATAACACTAATTTAAAGATGCAAATGTCACATGACTGAAAAAAATAAATTTTAGACAAATATGTCCTTTTGGAAATGTCTTGCAATCTTTATAGAATAAGCATTTTATGTCTATTTTTTGGTTTTAAAAAAGATTTTGAAAAAAAGGGAGGGGCAAGGAAAACGGGTCTTAAAACATATTGATGGGAATTTTAGTGTCTGTCATTCTTTGTCAAAATTCAGGAGAATTTTTAAAAACCTTAAAATTGTTATTTTTGTATTTAAAAACATTAAGTGGCTCCTTTTCAGCCAAAGTTATTCAGAGCCAGTTGTGATTTCAGTGTGTTCAACCAATGCAGAGAGCTGATTTACTGTTGAATGAAGTGAAAGACAAAACGTTCACTGATTCTGTGCATCCAGCTTGAGCTTTTTTTGCAAAGAACCTTCAATGTCTCGATGTGTGAAACCAAGAGATTTTATCACATAAGACTCCAATGAAATACACAGGAGTTTGTTGTGACAAAATGGGAGAAGCTTTAAAAAGTGTGAATGCCTTCAAGGTACTGCATGATTTTCAAAGTGAGTAGAAAAAGCTGTGTACCCATAGAGATAGTAGAAGAATGAGAGGAGGTAGAAAGCCAGTTTGCACCAGCCTTCTTTTTGACAATAGGCCAGGATGTCGGCATTCATGATGGTAGTCGGGTCATAGAGTCCTGGACAACTCATCACCGGTCTGCTCGTATACCTGCGGCACAGCAAAAGTATTCATAAATCTGTTCATCACAAACAAAGCAGAGGATTCCTGTTTTGTTTCAGCTGGTTGCTCGGTTTCCCACCTCCAGACGTGATAAGCCAGCAGCGGTAAGTTGAGGAAGAGGGTGAGCCACTCGGCCGCACACAGAAACATCACGCAGAAGAAGAAATGGATGAGATACTCTGGCAGCACCAGCTGAAACAGAGCAGAGGAGAGGAGACGTCAAAGCACAGGTACAGCCGTTTTCCTCAAAGCGAGACGTTTAGGAAGCCAAGACAGTCAGAGGACGACATGGGAGGGAGGACGCTGCAGCTCCCTGAAGAAAACCAGTCGTCTTTACACAGCAAAGACTGAGGTGTTCTCACTCAGACGTCTGAACCAAAACAAACAAAAAAAAAGAAAAAAAAAAGGGTGACATTCAAAAAAACAAGTGAAAGACAAATACTGAGCTTCTGTGTAATGTGTTAAATTGTGTGGTTACAATGCATGTAGCCGAGGTGACAGCATACCTCGGCATCGGACGCCATTTTTAACCAAATAACAGGGTGAAAAATCAAGATCTACCACTTGCAAATTTGATAACTGGATTTTTAAAAACAAAATCCGATTTTCAGTATTTAGATTAAAAACCACAAAGAAGTTCCTCCCTGACTTCCAGCTTAGGGGTGGGTATTTATTGTATCATTTATCGTGATAAATTTCTTGTAATAGGATTTTTTATTTATTGTTGTCACAGTGAATTCAAATTAGTGATGTTTAAAACCCCCAAAACTGTCTGAATTGTAGTTTTTACCGTTTTCACCAACATTTATACAAAAAGAGCATCAATAAATTTGAAAATATGATTTCATTCAGCTGCTATGAGCGGTTTATTGATACGGATCACATTTTATGTGAGGAAGAGGGTGAGCCACTCGGCCGCACACTGAAACATCACGCAGAATAAATGTGTGTGTATATATATATATATATGAGGATAAATAGTTATAATTTTTTACAACATTACTACAAAATATTGTGATAAAACTTTAAGTCTCATTTTGCCAGTTTTTGCCCGCTTCAGCAAAAACACGAGCTGCTTTTCAGAGTTTAGAGATCAATTTTTGCAAGTGGACCAAAGAGATTTATTTCCCATCCTGGTTCAGCAACCTGCAGCATCACCATGTGCATCTAAACTAAACAACGACGCTTCCTCAGGACAATGTTGGTGCATCTGAACACCGACGCGTCTGCAGTGACGACAAATCTGCACATCGTCCCCCTTTGCGACAGCACATTGTTTGAGAACCATGCTGTGAGCGTGAGCGGCGTTGATGCAGCCAGCGTGCGTGAGGTCGGGTTGAGCGTTGGGTTCAGGGGGGCAGATGGAAGCACCACATGGAAGCCATGCATTTGGGGGTTGGGGCATAAAAAAAAAAAATACAGCAGGTGGACCCAAACCAACGGCCCACAGAAGGACAGGTGTGGGGCGTGGGGAATGTGCAGGATCTGCACTGCGCTGCCAAATACGACACAACTGAACAGACTGAGGGGGGCAATGATAACCCCAAACGGGTTCAAACTGGGCTCAAAGCCTGCATACCAGACTATGTAGAACGCCATGGGTTACAGGTATGTGGAGCCTGACTTTTTTTCCCCTCTACACTAACTCATCCTCCTGTGGAGAATTTCTAGCCAATCAGAGGTTTTAAATAGTGCTGAGCTGGAGAGAGGTGGGTGGGAATCTGCCGCCATCTGTTCAGAACCACAGGTGATGTAGCTTAGAGCCAACTCTGATATCACTTACAGCAGCTTACATCGGACAAACAGTGGCACAAACTGCAGCCTCTAATTCATGAGGAAAATAATACCTTTTTTGTGTGCATATTTCAGTGAAGAATGTGGTTGAGCTGCAATTTGAAAGATCATCCAACCAACTGATTTAAGTCTTTGTCCAACACATGGAGAGTTTTCTGAACTATCTGTCAAACCATAGGCAAACAAAGGGTTGATTGTAATAGAAATCATGCATGCTTTAAGCATTTGCCAGTCTTTTCAGTTAAAAGCTAACGCTTCATCAATAAGCCATACCCAACGAGACGCGTCAGGAGATCCTTACAACAATCTGCTGGACGGAAGCCGAGTCCAGTCAAAGTATTCATCGCCCTTTTACTCCGTCACATTTTGTCCCAGTACAGCAACAAAACAAACCAATACAATTTAGAGGTAGCATCAATGTTGTTGTTTTTTGTTTTTAGAAAAGATATGGGAAGTGTGAAAGTAGAGATGGGTGTTTATTGCATTGTTTATTGTTAATTGTTTATCGCAATACATTTCTTGTATTCTGACTTATTGATAATAAATCACAGTTAATTATGCTAAAAACTGGAAAAACTGTCCATATTGTTGGGATTGTTATCATTTTCTCCACTGCTTGTCCAGTGAAAGTATCAATAAATATCACATTTGAAAATGTGATTAAATGCAGTTATGTTGTTTTGTCTAGTGATGCAAATGACCCTTCTTTATGTGACTGCTGTTGTAAAGAAGTGAATATTTTCCAAGAGCAGTGTTTGTGGGGCTGTAATTGCTGTGCCATGCAGTCAAACAGAGCGTGGCAGCAGCAATTATAAGAAAATAGTTCTTCAAAGTGTTGACTCTGGTTGACTATCTGCATGTCACACTTTTTTATGTACAAAAAAACCCCCAACAAACTTGCAAACTTTACAGTTTCATTTCACAATTAAACTCGATGCCGAGGTTGTAACAGGACAAAATGTAAAAACATTCAAGGGCGTGAATACATTTGGAATAAGTACAATATCCAAGGAAGAGCTGGCAATGAAAAATCTGCGAGAGTAGAGCAGAGATATCCGACCCAGAAATAAAACTGTATTACTTAAGAACACTACAGTAAACTTAAAAAAAAAAAAGAAAAAGGGGAAAACGTGATGTTTTCATCTAAACCAAAACGCAACTCAAGTTAGTTAACTGAAAAGACCTTAGCAAACACTTCTCCGTGCAAAATGACAAGACTTCGGACTAAGTTGAACTCAGCGGGCATTTTAAAGACTGGTACAAACCTTTATTGCAATTTTGACTCTCTTAATCTTTTTGACCTTTTCAATTGTCTTTTAGGCATTAAAAAAAGAAAAGAGGGGGCAAAAGAAGCAGATTGGAAATAAACAAAATGACAACGCATTAGTTTCACAGCCGACAAGGTCACTCAATTAAAATAACTAAAGAAAAAACACGAAGATTATTTAGCATAACAGTGCAGAAAAATGATAGAAAAAAAAGAGATATGTAGGTACAGTTGTAACAGAGAGCATCTGCATGCAGTTGTTTAGACAGCAAATGGTAGGACAGACACACTTACCGGATTCAAAGTGTTGCATTGATCTATAGGATTCTTGTAGTCAGTCTTCAGCTCATCGAATGCGATTATCTGGAAATAATGAAGAAATATGTCACATTAATGCTGGCATGATTATATTTATGATATTCCAGCTGAATGAACAATCCACCAAATTTACACACACAAGAAGAAACTGTGCAAAATCATTTAAAATGAACTGATTTGTTATTGCAGTAACATAACATTTAATCTCAGCACATTATTTTCTTCATTTTAAGAAGTTTTAGTATTAAATAAACTGCTGCCACAACACAATCCCCTTGAAATCATTTGTTAGTCATGACAGCTGTGTTTGCCTGCTAATGCTAAATGTGACAGGGCAGAAATTAATTTCCTTTAACTACCCTCCCATACCTAAATACTATTGGAGAGAGGATGGGTCAAAGATCACTGTATGCCTCACAGCTTGTAGCAACAAGTTGGTATAACACACTTATTTGTGTGTTTTTTCTATAATACATTACCAATTCTTGTTGGATGACATTTATTGCAAATTAGTAACCACCATCGTATAAAATTTACAACAGTGTCTGAGAAATCCCAAAGCTAACAATAGCAAAAAAAAAAAGAAGAAAGTTAATAAAAGTATGACTTAAGTTTTTTCAACATTTGACAGTCACTCTCTTCCACCCTCTTTACACCAAGTGGCGAGAAAATGGTCACAATACAGCAGAAGAGCCATAAAGCATTTAGATTTTCTGGACTAAATATGTCAAAGTCCTGCAAAATGCTCACAAGCCTGCTAGCTGTCATGAGCCTGCTAGCTATTATGAGCCTGCTAGCTGTTATGAACCTGCTAGCTGTTACAAACCTGCTAGCTGTTACAAACCTGCTAGCTGTTATGAGCCTGCTTGCTGTTAGCACAATGTAGCCTGCTAGCTGTTAGCACAGAAGCTCTGTGTGTTTTGAGGACGTCTAATACGAACATTACCTCCGGAAACACCTTAATTCAAAATTATGTGTAAAACCAGCTATTAGGGCGAGCTTTCCGCCCGAACCGACACCAGGCGTGTAACATTCATTCATTCATTCATTCAGTAGTAGACAGGTTTCTGAAGTAAGCGTGCGTCAGTTTAGTTAGCGCTAACGTTCTGTCTCGAGACCTCCCCAGCGTCTTGGAGGAGCTGACTCTGACCGGAAACCGCCTCTTCTGCGTGCCCACTAGGAAGGCCTTGTTTTCAACCCTGCGTTTGGGTTCCTCGCTACTTCTTCTACACCTGGACAGTCAGGAAAGCAGTCGGTGTAAATGTGTACTTACATGCCAAATAGCAAAAAAGATAAGCGCCGCCGTGAGCAGCAGAGCGAGCATGTAACAAAAGGCCGCGAATGTGAACGCCATTTTTCTACGGTTCTTCTGGTCGGTTCCTCCTGGCTCCGTCAGCGGATGACCAGGATTCCTCCTCTTCTTCTTCTTCTATGGCTGTTGGCAAACAACTAATAGGTGCATTACCGCCACCTTCCAGATTGGAGTATGGATCAGGCGTTTAACTATTATTATCGCCCCATAATATCCAATTAAATTTAATTCCTAATTAAATCTCTTTCTTGTGCATATTTAATACATTTTAAAAAAATATGATGTACTTTCTAATTTTCCACAATAATTACAACAACCTGCGTTGTTTATTAATTATCTTAAGAGTACTATTTAATCCTGTCTGTCCAAATCTTATCCTATAATATATGATTATTATAATTTTTTTTATTTTACAACATTTTCTAAATTCCTCAATTTTGGGGGGATACTATAATAAAACCTAGCATTGTCTCCTCTCTCCCACTGTCTTGCCATTTCTTCTCGATATATATTTTTATAATATTCTTCATCTCATTTTTAGTCATTCTAATATTTAAATCGACAATATTCTTCCTTTGCAGCACTCTCAGCAAAACTATCAGCCAACTCATTTCCTACCACACACCAATGTGGGTTTTAACCTCAGTGCAAAGCAAGATGCGGAGGGTAAACTTGACCAATTCTTGTTAGCCACTGTGCTAGCTAGCCGAGCTGCAATCTCTCACGTGATACTCTCTGGGATTCACCTTACTGACGTCAGCTGCCTGGGGCCTACGCAACATAGCAGTGACGTGGCTAGATGAGTAAACCGTCTATAACGTCACAGGATCTCTGTTGTTACTTTCATTCAACTTCCTTAACCAAGAGAGAACCAGTTCTATATTTAAGAACATTTTTGAGGAGAAATTAAGTCAGTAAACGTCTGACAGACACAATGAGTTTGTTATCCAGAGGCATAAAGTACATTGCAGCTGGTCTGGGACTAAATAATTGCAATCAACCCAAACCGAATCTCACCTATGAGATACGGACCATCAGGGATAACTGGACTCTGCAGAAAACTGGAATACTTGCTAAGATACTTGACATCAACTACAGATTCGGGCTGTTAAAGAAGGTCAGAAAATTTTGCACGGGAGATAGATTGTCTGGCACTGAACTTTGCAGAGTACTGCGTTTGCCAAGTGAATCGAGGATATCTTTCACACAAACTCAGGACAGCGAAGACCAGCTCGGCAATTTACGTTCTTACTCACTGCCAAAGATAAAGAAGGATAGACTCAGCCGCCCATAGGCATTCTGTCTGGAGTCAGGAGGGTATGACAGTAAAAGAACAGATCGCCGTGTAACAAATGATGCTGTAGGCAATTTCCCCCTCCGATGAAGGAAACCAACAACAAACTACAGCTGAGAGTTACAACAGACACATAGAGAGCATTTACAACAGCAGCAAATATAGAGCTGTTTTTCCAACCTTTTCGACCAGGATATTGTCAGTGCATATCAAGCACATCCATAAAATGCTCTTGTTGGAATAATTGTATGTAAGTTATCCCATGTATTGTTTTTCTTACTATGTATGTTGGAATGCTGTAAAACTGTTACTGTGAAGATTGACTACTTATTCTGTTTGATGTCTGGAACGAGATTATCACATACAAGATAATTGTGTTGCATAGAAGGAGAGGCAATCACAATATACATTATCAAAGTACTGTCTTTGCATCTCCTGAGGTTACAGTTTGTTTGTTGTTTTCTGGGGTCATAAAGTTCAGTTCCTGAGACTTTGGGTTGTATGCAAACGACCCATTCTTCCTATCAGACTGGATGTTGCTCTGGCCATCCGAGGTGACAGAATCATCGCTTCAAAGATAAAAGAAACACAAATCGTTCCCAGGGGCATTGTATTTGTATTTGTATCTAACACTTAGTTGGGAATTGAGAACTGGCACTGTAGCTGTGTGATGAATTGTTTACCCAACGCCTTTTAGAGCTACAGTGTCCTTGTGTAACCAGGGTGACCTAAGGAAATAAAAGGCGTTGAGAGCCAAGACGTACTCAGAGTGTGTTGGAGATTGTAACTGATGTACGTCTCTGGGGCACTCTCCTCGCGAGTAAAACTTAACTGATGTTAAGTTTTACATCACTTAACTGATGTTAAGTGATGTGTTCTGTCTTTCTTTCCAGGTAGTGTTTTACTAATGTTAGGGGTTTAAACCTGACATTAAATTGGTCCTTCGAGCCGGATTCCCGAAACCCTAAGGATTCAAGCGGGTGAGCGAGATCCAGGAAAAGCCTGTGGCCACAGCACTAAGACCCTTTCCAGGACTGGTCCTTTCTCACAGGCTGGGATCCGAGGGGTTGGCGGACATCCAGGGGAAGACTGACACATATCAGTGAGTAGGAATTTATTTTAAAAAGAAGTGGTGAATGATTGATATTGCAATAAAATAGAGAATAAGAAGTGAAGAAATAAATAAAATAGAGAATAAGAAGTGAAGAAATAAAACCCTGACAATTCTAGACACTATCAGGTAACTTAAAACAAGCAGTTAAATTCCGTGAGGACGGCGGAGTCCTTTACTCATAGAAGTAATTAAAGTCCGTGGGATGACGAAGTCCCCTGCTTGAAGAAAAAAGAGTGAAGAAATAAAAGAGTGAAGAAAGAAAAGAGTGAAGAAATAAAAGAGTGATAAAAAAAAGAAGAAAAAAAACTAAATCATAAAAAAACTAGAAAATAATGCTTTGTAAACCTTACCTAGCTGGAGGTTTTGTAAAGCCCTACTGGCAAACTTCACCTGCTTCGGTATTTTGCAACCTCACGTGGTTTGAGATCTTACAAACCGCACCTGTTGTGGGAACGGGGCCCGACTAATACCCGTGTTTAAATGGACGGCGGAGTCCAGCGAAACAGGCGCTTAAATTCCGTGACAAAAAACAGTGTGTATGTGAGAGTGAAAGGAAATTTATGTATCACTCGATACTTGATTTCGTACCAAAACAGCAAGGAAGTAAATGGTGACCCTCTGTGGATGCATGTGGGCAAGAAAGTTCCACTTGAAAGAGTTGAAGTGAACTTTACCACAGACAGGAAGTTTTATCACCATCTTGCTGAAAATATTCCAGTGTTAGAACACACCAGGTGTTACCCCCCACTGGACCAAAACATAGTTAAAAAAAATGGGAAAAAATAACAGTAAAATAAAACTAGAAGATTTAACTTGTAAAGATTGGAAGATACTTGAGAAACAAGAACCAGGAGCAGTTGAACCACTGGCATACTGGGTACACAAATATGGCTTAAATGGTAAATTAAGCACTGCAAACATTGCAGAATAACAGACACCTGGAACAGTGAAATAGAGAAAGAAAACTTAGCATTGAATACTAAGGATTTGTTTTAAGGTACAATGATGAATCTGTTCCATCGGAATTTCTATTTGCAGTAGTGGACTTTGATTGATGTATTTCCATATAGAAAATACTTCAATAAGGGGGAAATTGAGATTATATTGAAACTTATGAAACATAAAAAAATATTTTTAAAGAAAAAAAAAAGAATAAAATTTTTGAAAAAACTTTAAGAACATGTTTTGATTTGTGCTGAAATGACCTAATAACAGGCATAACTCATTGAGAAATTTAAGTTCAAGTAAAAGAGGAAGATTTTCAGAACTTGTATGTCCTTTTAAATGATGTTAACGGATAGGAAAGATATGTTTTTGGTGAAAATGGATGTTGATGAATTTGAATTTGTGCTCCATTGAAAGGTGTTCTGACAATGTCTAAATTATTTTGAAAGTAACAATTCATAGATATGGTGTAATTGAATAAATTTATAGTGATAATGAAACACATTTGGTTAAATGATTGGAGGAAAAAATTAAAGGAATTATAGTTCATACTAATTTGAAATTACTATTCTAGCCATTTTCAGAGCAATAATTTATGGATTAAAATTAATGGATTGAAGAAATGTGTTGAAGAAAACAGACAAGCTGTAGACAAAATATCTGTTATTGATTAAGTCATACATGAATCAGTAAAAGCATTTAGGAATACCTTTTTTTGGGGGGAATTTGTGTAAGGAAAGTTTATAAAATATTTGAAAGAAACAACAAGTAAGATTTGGTTGATGCTGTAAAGGTAATTTAGACTGAACTGAGTTTATAGTTTTGTGAATCAGGTGGTTACAGGGTTTCTGAATTTTCCATATGTTGGTATGTGCTGGAAAATAATAGAAACGTAAATTGAATAAATTTCATCCACCATAAATGTGCAGAAAGGTGAGGAACTTGGAACATGCACTATATAAGGCTATGCGTGACAAGTGCTACAATCTCTCATTGCAATCCAGAAAGGATTGTCCTTGATGCTGTTGGCTATGAAGAAAGTGTGCGGCTGCTTGGAGAAGCGGTGTCCATATTTATGCCGACACAATAACAGCCACAGATGGAAATGAGAGGTGGAGAATCCACTCAGACGCAGAGTGGGAATGGATGTTCGTTTCGAACTCGCGAACAGACGAACTAAAGCCTTTGGACATATTGCATCTTGGTTTTCTCAGATTCTGCTTTGCAGCTGTTCTGGCGACAGGTGGATGTCATCTTATTCAAAAGTTTGCGTTCTTTGCCAAAGAGAAAAATAATTTCCCTAATGGAAAATAGCAGAACCCACAAGTACCCCTGTAGGAAAATTAATGATGATGCTGACACTGATGGAAAAATTTACCCTTTTAAGTAGATCATTGTTTGAAAGAAGTTTGCTTGTTTGAAATGCATACTGAACAGTGAAAGTTTATGTGTGTTTTTCTTAGCATTTTATCTGAATGTTTAAGCTTTGAATATGATCCGTAAATAGAATATTTACAAAGACGTGGTGTATGGATTTAAAATTTAAATTTGTATTTTTAGGAAGGATATGAGAATTACAACAAATATGTGATAAACAGGGGGGAAATGTTGGAATAATTGTATGTAAGTTATCCCATGTATTGTTTTTCTTACTATGTATGTTGGAATGCTGTAAAACTGTTACTGTGAAGATTGACTACTTATTCTGTTTGATGTCTGGAACGAGATTATAATGTACAAGATAATTGTGTTGCATAGAAGGAGAGGCAATAACAATATACATTATCAAAGTACTGTCTTGCATCTCCTGAGGTTACAGTTTGTTTGTTGTCTCTGGGGTCATAAAGTTCATTTCCTGAGACTTTGGGTTGTATGCAAACGACCCATTCTTCCTATCAGGCTGGATGTTGCTCTGGCCATCCGAGGTGACAGAATCATCGCTTCAAAGATAAAAGAAACACAAATCGATCCCAGGGGCATTGTATTTGTATTTGTATTTGTATCTAACACTTAGTTGGGAATTGAGAACTGGCACTGTAGCTGTGTGATGAATTGTTTACCCAACGCCTTTTAGAGCTACAGTGTCCTTGTGTAACCAGGGTGACCTAAGGAAATAAAAGGCGTTGAGAGCCAAGACGTACTCAGAGTGTGTTGGAGATTGTAACTGATGTACGTCTCTGGGGCACTCTCCTCGCGAGTAAAACTTAACTGATGTGTTCTGTCTTTCTTTCCAGGTAGTGTTTTACTAATGTTAGGGGTTTAAACCTGACAGCTCTCCACAAAGTTTTTATCGTTTCCCGTGAGATCTGTTCAGACATCATAGATGTCTTCATCGGAGATGAGGAGACTCCAGAACCCTATGAAAAGGAGATGACTCCAGAGAATGAATAGTAAAAATTGCTTTGTTTTGAGTCTTGTCTGTATCTATCTATAGATCTCTAGATACCCATAGATGTCTATATAGATAGGTAGATGTCAATTTAAGTACAGACAGCCTGGCAACATTTGCCGCTGCCGCTTGTAGAGTAGTGTATCACAAGATGGGGGAAGAAGTCTGACTGTACACAAACCACTTCTGTGTCTGTCCCTCCCCTGCACTGCTCTGATGGTGGCGGCAACCTGAAAAAAGTTCTCTCCAGGTATTCCAGCTTCCTCCCACAAAAAAAGGATGGATGGAGTTATGTTGTGTCTACCAGAGGACTCCTCTGGTAGACACAGATAAATGGATGCTAGCATCCATAAATGCATCTATAAATGCTATAAATGCATTTATGGAAATGCATTTATACATTTATGGATGCTAGCATCCATAAATGCTATAAATGGATGCTAGCATCCATACTATAAATGCATTTATGCATTTATAGCAATGCATTTATGCATTTATGGATGCTGGCATTAATAAATGCTATAAATAGATGCTTGCATCCATAAATGCATTGCTATAAATGCATTTATAGCATCCATGAATGCATAAACACATTGCTATAAATGCATTTATAGCAATGCGTTTATGCATTCATGGATGCATTCATGGATCCATAAATGCTATAAATGGATGCTAGCATCCATGCTATAAATGCATTTATCCATTTATAGCAATGCATTTATGGATGCTGGCATCCATAAATGCATAAATAAATGCATTTATGCATTCATATATGCTAACATCTATTTATAGCATTTATGGATGCCAGCATGCATAAATGCATTTATAGCAATGCATTTATGCATTCATAGATGCTAACATCCATAAATGCTATAAATGGATGGTAGCATCCATGCTATAAATGCATTTATCCATTCATAGCAATGCATGTCTGCATTTATGGATGCTAACATCCATAAATGCTATAAATGGTTGCTAGCATCCAGACATTTACGCTAGTCTGATCTATGTGGATCTGGTGGCTTCTCTTGGTGTGGCAATCTTTCAGTTTTCCTGCTGGTTGTGGGAAGGCATCTGCTCTCTGACGGCATTTTCGACTTGAATGGCCAGGAAGATGACAGAAGAAGCAGAGATTATTCTGCCGGCAGTGCATACGTGCAGTGTGAGAATCGTCATTACACACAGGCCCCTGTTCTTTAAGACAGCTAACAGCAACATCATGCTGGTCCATTCAATCTGAGCCAATATTCGAATGGATCCTCTGTCTGAAACGTCGCTAAATGTAGCAAGAAAGTCACTGAGTTGGTAACAACGGGGTGAATATCGTTAACTGTTGATGTTCAGACCTGACCTGGTGGGTCTGTCTGTCAGCCGAACCTCTCACTGCAGAGCAGAAGTTAGAGACTAATTTTTAAACTTTTGCTGACGAAAATAAGATCAGATTCACATGTAAGTGTCGGCCGAGTGTCTCTTTTCTTCTCAGGTAAACAGCGAGAAACCTTTGCAGATGTGCTGCTTCCATTGTGTGGAAGCAGCACATTTAATTCACTTTTTTTTACGACCTTGCTTTTATAGATTATAAATAATCTGACTTGATACATTACAAACATTACCTACTAAATATTTTTTCACCCACATGCTTGCTGTGTTCCACACATACAGTGCGTAGTAAACGGTGCAAACAATTTTTCAAGATTTTTTTAAAATCAAACTTCCATAATTTTCCAGATTTTTTTCTGTATAAAACAAGAATTGTCCTCACAGTAGTTCTCCAAAAATCATGAAACAACAAAATGCTGATATTGACTTTTGATTTTCAGAGTATGGAGTAAATTTGCTCCACCTCTAACACTTAGATCTGTAAGAACTGGAATAAGCCACACACTAAACATGGATTTATTAAAACAATTTGTGAACACTGATGCCTTTATTCCATTTTATTTCTATTCTATATTTTTCCCCAATTCAACCTGTACCTAAAGTTACCCAGAGGCCAAAACAGTGAAATATACCAAGTTCTTTGCTTGTCAAAACCAAAATATTGAGTAAAAAAAATTAATCTAATTGTTTTGTGGCATTTCAGTTAAATGTAAATCTAGAATTTTCGTAATCTCTCACCAGGTTTATCATTTGAAAATGGAAGATGGGGAATAAAAAAGTCAAGAAAACACCAGAATTGGTTGTATATTTTTCCAACTTGTAAAGATCCGGATGAAAGTAAATTCCATACTTTCCCATACAGCTAAGATCTCCCCACAAGCATTTTCTTTGGATATTTTTCTAATATGTCCATGTGGTTCGTGATAAGGCAAAACCGACAAATCACTTCTGAATAAAAGCAGAAGCGTAGACGTCACTGTCAGTTTATTTGGACAACAGGACAGACACAGGTATAGAAATATGTCAAGTTTCACTGATGTCATGAGACAGCTGGTTATCGTAGATGTTTCGGTTTTTAGTAAAAACGAAAGAAAAAAAATTATAGGCATTTTGACCAGAGAGGACACTTATTGAGCAAAACTACACATTCGCAGGATAAATGGTTCAAAGGGTCGGATTTACAACTGTTCAAACACATAGGAGAAGCTCAGGAATCCACAGGATACAACCAGAGGCAAGGCTCGAAACCAAAAGCGAGGTTGACTTTGATAACACAGAAGACAGTTTACTACATTTCATTTCCACTTAATTTCACAAACATTGAGGATTTTATTTTTTTGTAAAGAAACAATAAGCATGTAAAGACTTCAGGTAGAGTAGGAATACAGCTCAAATACAGAGGCCTGTACTACGAAAGTCGCCACTGGTTTTCAAGTCTTACTCCATAAGTGGAGTCGTTAACGGTTCGCTAAACGTTAAGTCGTGACGCGCGAAGGAAAGGAGCACCGTTCCTTCCTGTGGTGTGCGGCGCTGAAAAACCCAAGCGGTGAAGCTGAAGTTGTCTGTTTCATAGTACCGGCTCCGGATGTTTGAGATGTAAAGACGTTGGTTCTGCCTCAAAGAGGAAACAGTTCGATGGAAATAGTTTACATTCAGTAGAGAAAGCATCGATTTACAGTAGCTGTCCACATTTATGGCATCTGGACAATTTGGAAAGATAGTCTGGTTGTTGTTTTTGTTTTGAATGTTTTAAGCCCATAAAATCAAGAAGATTGCACATTTCAGAGTTAGCATATGCTCCCCTGACTGGATAATTCCCAGTATATTCCATAAAGTTTTTCTTATAAAAAGTTTAGTGTTGGTAGGTAAAATGAATTTACTCTAATTCTCTCCTGTAGCTTCATCATACAGGCGAACATGAGGCAGGCAGTGTATATCTTATCAGTAGACATGAATCACCAACACAAGAGCAATCAAAGTCTGTTTCTACACTCCTAGTGTCTCGTCACAAGCAGGTAAAAACAGGATTTGAGTAACAAAAATGTCAAGAAACATTTATTTTAGTGCCACGTGCTCTTATCCAATGTTCAGTTTTGAGTTTTACAGGAGATAATAAGGAATTAAGACAAAGGCATTGGTGAGCTAAACCGTACGACATCTTTATTTGTGGTGAAACCTACAGCCTTTCACCCTCCCATTTTCATTTAATAAAAACTGCACTTGGGGACGACGCTGATGAGATGTGGCGCTCGCATGTGCCCATTTAATCTCCTCTGGGGATGTGACCGATATACCGAGGTGGGACGACGCTTTTAATAAGAATCGGAAAACCTCCTGAGCCACGGCTCATTGAGGACTTTACTCACCGTCGCATGAAAGTGAGTCACTGCAGGATCTGGAATACATTTCCCATTACTAAAAAGATGTTTTTCATTGCTATTTGGAGCTGCTTATAGTGATTGTTTTTTTTTTCTTTTTTACAGAACATACATAAAAAAATAAAATAATTTAAAAAAAGCTCTTTAGAAATCCAGAGTGTTTGACCAATAGGCTTGGGCTGGTTTGAGGTGTTTTGGTACCACGGTTTCCAAATAAAAAATGCAATATTAAACACATTAACATGATAGAATAACACCTGATATTTATCAGACATTTATTACCAACTTGCAGCTAAACTTTATTGTGCAGGATATTTTACCATTCTGCTCTTTATAGAGTGACACAAGTATGATAAGTTAATATGAGATTTTAGCAACAATTTGGGGAATACCAATGTCGACAATAGAGGTTTCAGAAACTTCAATTATTATTGATTAGAGATTAGTTCCCAGAGACAGGGCTTCAAAGGACATGCTAACTTTAGCTTCTTAGCTAGTGGCGGTGGCGTTTCCCCCCCACCCCCGCAGTACTCAAACTGCTTCCACCCAAATGATTTTAGAATGTTGTCAACCAAAACGGATATGAAGACTGTCGATTCTGGGCAACTCAAGAACTACTTCCTTTCCTACTTCAAAATAAAGAGTTTGAAAAATACGAGGACAATCAATCACTTAAAGTGTTTGCCTTCGTTAACAGGAAGAAAGGCTTCTGTAGCGATCTTAAAACAAACTTTTTAAAACCGTCACACAGGTGAGCAGCCCATGCCTATTGCACAGTGACACATAAAACATTGCAGTTCACAACAGATTTTAGAATTTGCCAAGAAAATACACAAAATACATCGTTAGCGACTGGACCGAGGACTTTGAGACTGGCACCAATTATGAGCAGCTGCCACGTTTCGGCATGAGGAAGCCATTGTGGAGACGTAAACAGCCCAACGTCTAAATAATGAAGCACAACCGGCGTTTTGAGGAGTTACACCATTACTTGTTTAAGGCTGCAATAGCTACACAGCAAATAAAGTGGCTTTACATGAGAATTAATCAACATTCAGTACAACAGTAGGAGTTCCAACGCACAATGATAGCTGACAAGCTCCGCATAAAGAGACCAGTGGATTCCAGTAGATTAAAATCAGGGGCAGATATTTACCACCCTGTGTGCCGTTGTCTTTGCTGTCATGAGTACTAAAGTTTTGAGTGAAAATTAAAAAAAAAAAAAAAAAAGGTTTGTGTTTGGAATGTATCTAGAAATACTGTACCCTGGTTCGAACCGTTCAAGGAATATGCAGGTCAAAGACAACATCCATCGTTCATGTTTTTATTTTCTTTGAAGAGGAAGAAAATTCATCCATATTCAAACCAACGGTGCTGCGGTGCCTTGCAAAGGTGAAGCCTTGAGCTTTTCCATATGATGTAATGTTATAACTACAATCTGTAATGTATTTTATTGGGGATGTTATGCGACAGGTCAGGGGTCAGCGACTTTTACAAACCCCCTGACCCCCCCCAAAAAAACGCAAAACATTGTTGCTCTTTCTCCTACTGAAGCAAGTATGACATAAAATTAATTTAAGTCATTTTACCAATAATAAATTATTGTCCTACATAAATTTATTTATTTATTTTTTGTGTTTTAGATCAACCAAAAACATAAATTTTTTTACAAAAAGAGAATGATTTCTGTTTTTAATCAAACGTTCAATATTTTTGGAAGCGTCAGAAAACGTGACAAAAACACATTTTTTAAAACATGACTTCTTGTACGATTGCTGTCACTCTACTGCAGAAATTGTATGCAGATAGAGTACAAGAACAAATAACGGCAGAAACGATCATTGTGAAGTGGAAGGAGGACAACGCATGGCTTTCAAAATTTCTCACCAAATAAATATCTGAAAAATGTCTGTATTTATTCCCCTGTTACTCCAAAGTTGGAGTAAATCTCTGGGTGTTGTTAATCATCTGAATGAAGAGACCTCAGAGTTTCATTTGAGTACATCACTGAAGAAACAGTATCAAGATCATGTTTGTGTTTATAACATGACAAAATGTGAAAAAGTTCAACGGATGTAAAGACTTTCGCAAGGCACCGAATCATTTTAGCCATGGTTTCTCGTTCATGTGCTCAGTTTACCTCACTAGGTGTGAGTGTTTTTGTCTTCTAGGGAGATATTGTCAGTATGCACCTTATCATTTAAATGCCCTTGGATAAGTACTGAAGGACCTCAGTAGTGTTTTCTGGATTCTAGCTGCAACTAAATGGGGAAAACAATCCTCTAAAAATCAACATAAATGTAACCTACAGACACCAGAAATAAGAAAAACAAAAAAAGATTAGCCAGTAGGACTTTCAAATAATCGTGAAAAATAGGTAAAGACAGATCGACTGAGGAGGGTCTCAGTTGCAAAATTGTCGAGTGTAAACGTCTTAAGGAAACAAAATCATAACTACGAAGAGGCTGCGTTCCCCCCGGACGATGATGGCATGCTCCGGAAATGGCGGAAACGCACGTTTCATTTCTGTTCACTTTAAAAACCTACGGGAATGTTAATTCAATACAGACACATCACTGGCACATGGAGAGATGGTATGGGAGGCAAAAGCAGACCTGAATCAAATAGCATTTGCAGACTGAGGCAACCGGACAGGCGAGGTTTAGATATGGCCATGATTGTTGACAGTCACAGAGGTGGCGCTCGAACTCTCGTGATGGTCTGAACATTCTGGCACAAGCTGAGTTGTAATACAAAATGTATATATATATCTTATACCTCACCGATGTGGCCGTTAAGAGCAGAGTATTTGCAAAAGCTATTTCAAATCAGGTCCGCTGAGAGAGGAAGGTAACATCTGTAGTGTGTTCTTCTTGAAAGATGGAGCATGGTTGTGCGGTCAGGATCCCCCTCGCATCCCAAGCCTCCGGATGAGAAAACTTTACTTAGCGAAAGAATCCAAGTTTCTCTCTAAGCCAATCTTCTGTCAGGTCCTCTGTGTTCCTAATCTCAAACGCCTGTCAAATAAGAAAGAAAGGAAGAAAGAGAGAAAGAATGAAAAATGATCAAAAGTTGGTAACTGAACCCCCCCTGCATGTGAAACGTATAAAACTGCTGAAGAATAAAAGAGAATATTTGTTCCAAAAACAAAATCAACAACTTGTATTTCCCTACTTCTTCCCATGGCCAGAGCTGGGACAGGGGTTTAGTGACATCTAGTGGTACAGGTGAAGACTGCAACTAACCAAATATGTAACAGAACCATTTTGTAGGGGAAGAGAAACCTCTTTAGGCTCTTGTTTGGGCTTCATGGGCCAGGTTTGAAATGAAATCACAACATCACTCCTCTATCAAAATTTTTACCAGCGCTTTACTGAGAAGAAGTTGGTATAATAAACTCAGCAGAAGGGCAGTTCGCATGGAAGAATCAAGGCAACACTCCAGGTATGTTTTTGACAAGGGAATAACATTACAACGCTATGTAAAGCTTGAAAAGGTACATTTTACATAACGCTGAACGCTAATATTGTTAGCACCTTATAGTGGATACAACCAGGCCACGAAGAACCTAGTCAGCTTTTGAGCTACGTTTACACTGAAATTCAGATTTTTTTTTTTTTTAAATACCACCCACGCTACTTTGAGAAGTCATCCTAAATCTGATGCACGTCTGATCTTTCCAAATGCGACCCGTCTGTGAACGTAGCCAAAGATTCACCAACCTTGGTCAGTTGAACCGTTTGCACCAGCTTGTTTTTGCTTCCTGCGTACATCATCTGTTGCTCTGGTTTACAACCTGCCAAGCAAAACAAATATATGTAAGGAAAAACAACATCAAAAACACAAACGTGTTTTTTCACGAGCTGAGCGTTTGGCCGCCTGCAATCCTTCGATCCGACGCACCACAGACAAATGAATTACATCCTCAGCACGCGTCCAGGTTCTACAAAGTCATATCAGTGGCCTTCATTTGAAGCAGAAACACATTTAAAAGTTGCAGGACGCCGTCACCAAAAAACACTGCTTTTTAAGCTTTTTTGGGTGTCCTACAGCAGAATCAGCCTTACCCACTGGACTGGAGAAGATGAAGCAGAGCGGATAGGACACGCGTCCATCATCGTGTTGATACTTATAACTGTAGACAATGAACGTTTCCTGGGCTAAGGACAGCAACTAACATGTGATTACATTTTATTATAAAGTACTCAGATGTTGTCAGATGTTGTTAGTTCAAAGGATATCTGGGTTGTCTCTCGGGCAGTTCATCCTTCAGAGCATCGGGTGAAATATCCTAAAAAAAATAATAAGTTGTTCTAAAACGTGAATATTTTTAGCATCGTGAATTTAAAAATTATAAAGACTAAATGAGCCATTTAAAGGTGGGAGATTAAAAAGAAAAAAAAAAAAGCTTACCTCATGCTCTTCTTCGAGAATAACGAGCTGCTTGTCTTTGTCTATTTTCACTGAAAACACACACACAAAAAAACAAAAGTCAATAACTAAATCCGCCGGCATTCCACAGTGAGAAATACCAAGAAGCTGAAGCAATCTCTTCCTCTGCTTGTGTCCTGTAATGTTTGGTGTGCTGCCTCTGAGTTGAGAGTCCCTGTCATGCAAACATGCAGCTAATCCTATTCAGCAGAAATGACATTCTGAAGCGGGTGGAGGATAAAGCTTTTCCTCTCCACCTCGCTGCAGTGAGACATGTCTCAGTGTCACCATGGCCACAAAGCTTTTTAATACGTGTAGCTTTAGCTTTTTTTGCACCCCCACATCTGTATTTTAAGCAAGGCACAATTAATAAGAGAAGTCAGGAGTTAAGTCTGAAACAGTTTGACAGTTTTAGCATTAGGTTAAAGTTCTTGCATGAGAGGAATGTTGGCCTCGCCATCCAGTTCATAAAAACACAGTCATGGGACTGTATTGTTTCAATAACCCAGCCTTTACAAGGCTTTCTAAGACGGTTGCAAATCAAACGTCAGGCTTTGAAACGCACGAGATTCCAGACTGTCATTACATGTGGAGAAAATAAAAAGGTTATGCCTGAAGAAGTAAGTAGAGTCAAACGCTTCTAGGATCAACTTTAGCAGAAATAAAGTCATTTTCGGTGACTAAAATAATCGTCAGCTGCAGCCTTCCTGCAAAGCTAGTGTACAAAACAGAGGGGGTTGGAATGTCAACAAATTAAAAATGCTTTTGCTCATGAAAGAAGTAGAGAATGTCGTTCACGAGATTTTGCCCCTCTGTTTTGTACACTAGCTTTGCAGGGGGGCTGCAGCTGACGATTATTTTAGTCATTGATTGTTCCATCAAATATTTTGATGATTAATCAGATTTTTTAAATATTGGCAGATAAAATGCAATGAAAGCAGCATTCCTGTCGTGAAAAAATAAAAATGCAGCCAACATCAACATGTGAAAGGTTCAGGCTTTTCTGCTTGATGATAATCTGCTGATCAAGTTTTAGATTAGCTGATTAATAATTTGACATCTTAATAGCTGATTTTTATTAGCAAAATTTGAATCAGGTGAAACTAAACCTGCCACTTCAAGAGTTTGTGGTCAGGGTTTCAAGCATTATAAGCCTGGCGGGCCACCAGGCTTCACTTGTGCCCCCTCCAGACTTAGCATTGCTTATTTATCTATGTTTGCATTTTTTAAGACTTCCAATTTTCCAATAACACATAATTATTAAGTGATATTTTCAAATTTCCTCCCAATTTTAAACATTTTTTAACTCAAAAAGATGGCGGACGGCTGGATGAATGACTGCCCTACCACCCAGCCACCCGGCTTAGCAAGTTTTCTAGGAGAAACCTTGGGTGGTAGAACATATTTATGGACAAATAAGGTTTACCATCTAAAACGCAAAATCTGAATATGTTGTTCTTACAATTGCATTTTGGCACTTTTTGTTGTTTTTTTTGAGTCTGTATGCTTCAATTAACGACTGATCGAATGCTAAATTGGTTGCTTCCGTAAGAGATTATGAACACAAACAAATTAATAATCAACATGCAACAGAAGAAGGCGAGGGACGTACTAATGATGGCCGCATTGTTGGTTTCCTTCCGGAAGCGAAACTCCTTCAACTTCTTCACCAGATCTTCATCCACGTCACACACGACCAGTGATTCACTCTGACCACATAAGGGGGGTGGGAATGTCAACAAATTAAAAATGCTTTTGCTCATGAAAGAAGTAGAGAACGCAAACAGGAAGAAAAAAAAATCACATTAATGAAATGTTCATAGTGTCAAGTCTGCTTTTATTTTGAAAGCAGGGTTTTTTTGTCTATATCCCACTTTAAGGCGTTACGGTTCCCATATGAACCAAATGTGTAATAATGGTATTAGTAAACCTCAGATCCCACAACAAGAGCAGCTGCACCGATGCTAATGAGCAGCGTACGCTATGAACACACATAATGGTTATATAATGATTTAATGTAGCTTGTGCGGGACATGTTCAACAATCTGTAACGCTCTCCTCTTCATAGAAACAGACTCACTGCTTGGGCAACAGGAAGTGTGTCCTCACATCCACCCATTGTCCCTCTGACTTCTGCCCTCAGGGCAAATAGGCCCGTTTTCTGCAAAGCTTCACATAAACGGACGCTGCACGCTCTCATCCGAGTTAGGCATTAACACGTCTTTCACCCAATTTATCTAGATTTTTGTGTTTTGTTGTTGGTTTCTTTTTAACACCAAAAAATGACGGAGAAGCTAACACAGCAGGGCTTTACGAATTGCGTTTTTGTAGCTTTTGTCAAACAGACAAGAAAATAAGTCAGCGCACACGCGTGACGTTACTAGCACTGTTACTCCTGTTTCAGTCAATATATTATTTTTGCTATAGTTAGATTGACTTTTCTTTCTGGTTTAAATAAAAAAAAATCTCACGTCACGCGCATTTGTTTATGTAAATACAGAGCAGCCCTCTTTTTTTTTTTGTATGTTTTTACTCAATGATATCAGTGAGAATCTCATTGGGCCCACACCTGCCTACACCAACAAGCGTGTTCTCGCATTCAACCTCTGCCCTTTTCAAAGCATAAAACAAACAAACGGCTCCACACGCTCATTTGAATCGACGGTTTGGACTTCCACCTGCTTCTGACTCGCATCACAAACATCACGAACACTAAAGAGCAACGGAGTGTCTGCCGTAGCATGGGGAAATGTGCCATTTTAAGATCTCTTTTGTGCATATATTTCCACGTTAAACAGAACCTGAGACATGATCAAGACAGTAAGTGTTTTCAGGCGAAGCTGTGTACTTTTTTTTCCCCCTCGCTAAAAGCTGTCCTGAAATATTTCTCTCTCTTATTAAGGGAACACGGTCTTAAAATGTTTGGCCAGTTAAGTGACTGACTACAAGCTCTGCATGAGCAGATAGCCTAGCTAATTAACCAGCAAGCATTGGCTTCTAACTTAAAAAGACAGAGCGGCAAAAGATACAACATTCTGCACTTGGGCAGTTTTAAAAATACAAATAATTTTAGGTTTTTTTTTTTTTTTTGCTTAAATATTTTTTAAAATAAAACGCTGTCACATCATTCTCTACCTAACATTTTTATGTTATTTTTTTCGTAAAAAAAAAAAAACCTTCTCAAAACTAGTATTTTCATCATGACAGATTTAATCAGAGCTAAAACCATTAGTAATTAAACTATTAATTCACACAACTACGGCTTGTTTTTTTGTTTGTTCTGTTTTTGCAAACAGCAACAATCCTGACAGCACTCCATGCAACGCAGAGGATTCCATCCACAATCCACCAGTCTGAACAGGATATCATTGGTCTCTGTCACCGTCCACACGCAAGGCCTTACATAACTACCTCACCAAACATATTTGAAAAGCAACATCTTTAAGAGTCTCTCTGCAGACGCGCTCTGGCAAATCTTTGACTGCACCTTCCTGAGCAGATGGCTGGTGGGAGTCGGGATTTCACTGAGCTCTTGGAGAGATCCTCACAGATTAAAGACGTGATTGCTGTGCGTCTGTGGGCTGGATAAGAGAACAGACGTGACAACGGACGGCTTTTTTTTTTTTTTTTTTACTTTTAGCCCACATTCCTTCAGGCTCTCTGAATCGCTGTGGTCAGTGAGGAGACGACGGGGAATTAACCCCTGCTGTTTGCCAATTGACGCCTGTCGAGTCGGGGCAGCGAAAGAGGAATGTTGACAGGCAGCGCAGAGCATCGAGCTGTCACAACACGCCGCGGAAAACCCCCGGAGGGAGGCGCCGCTCTGCAGGGCAGCTAGCGTTAAGGCGGCCAGACGCGTTAAAACCCATCACCTGCTGCAGCAAAGTGCCCGCACGCCGAGGCAGGAACACACGCCGCTTTCAGCTTCAAAATAAAAGCACTTGGCGGCTATTTAGGGAATACGGTTTCTGCACTGACAAACCCAGGGACTGAGCTGCTCTATCGACGTTATGGGAGACATTTCTACCGGGGTCAGGCTTTGAATTGAGATTTTGCAGAAAACCAAGGAGTATAGAAAATAGGAAATAAAGGAGTGGGGTGGAAAGAATGGACGGGGAGAAAACTACTTGAGTCAAATTCTATACTTTGCAGAATTGTCATAAGAAGAGTTAATCAATTATTTAACAAACTGCTCAACATTTAGGTTATTTTAGTGAAATAAAATAAGTGGAAAGCCTGAAATATCAAAGCAATTACTTGTCGCTGATATGATTTCAACTCAATCGTAATTAAAGCGTACGAACTATGAGTCTTTAGTAAATATGAACCGTAACCTCTACGGTACGGTCTGAAGTGTTTAATAATTCAACCTTTGTTTTTTAATTCCACCGGAAGTAGATTGTGTCTGCGTCGGCTCCGTTGACGCATTCGGAAAACACGGAGGGTGTAACGGATACTAGGCTAGCAGGCTAACGCTCAACAATCTCCGATTTCACTTTCCGTGAAAACTCCTCCAAACTTCCTGTCTGTCGCCGCTGCGCCACTGACGCGAAAAGCGCCGAACCAAAAAGCCGCCCGTTCGTACGGAAACACAACAACTTACCATATTTGTAGAGTTGAAAGTCTCCCTGAAGCCGCAGCTGCTGCTCTGAATGGCAGAAACGCTTTCAGTGTTTTTTTTTTTCTTTTTTTTTTTTCTCTTTACGTCGCACCGTCCTGTGACTGGTTGGACCAATCACTCACAGGCTCCTCTTTCCTGCACAACACGCTCTGCAGGAACAAAAATTAACTCAACAATCACATACGTATATTTCATTTAATCCAGATTAATTGGCCATTTTGCTCTTCTTTTAATAGCTGCTGCAGCTCGTGATTTTTGTTGTTTCTTATTTTATTAAGGAATTTGAATACATGCGTCACTGTCTTTAAATATGGTGTTTTTTTGTACTCAAATTCAATCTTTATTGTACTTTTTAAAAATATATAAGAACATATATAATATAAAAATCAACATTTTGATTATTTGAAGTTTTTCTTGCATGAAACGTGAATAACTCAAATACTTTTTAAAAAATATATCATTCTTTAGTGAAGCACACAAGCTCTAAGATTAAAACAAAAATAATTTATCGAGAACATGATCATATTTTTACATATTTCTACAAGTACAAATTAGTTGTTTTAGTTACTGAGTTAAGACGTAAGCGGAAATATAATACAACGTCTATTTATTTTAGTACAATTAGAGCGTGACATTTATGTGTAGAATACTAATTTTTTTTTCTAATTTTAGAAGAAAAAAAAGAATACATCAGAGGAAAAAATACTTCCATTTTTTGATTTCCCGAGGTCACATAAATGAAAAGCGGAAGTGTGTGGTTTTGCACCGGAAGTTGTCCGTGCGCGAGCTTCCTTTCCAGGAGTTGTAGTTTTTCTCGCCAGATCTAACGTTAGCTTCCAGTTGTGAGCCTCGTCAGGCCAAAGGAGTTGGCGAACTGGTTTTTTTTTTCGGAGCTGTGGAAAACACCGCTGTTTCCTGTTGTCGTTCGAGCAGAGCCTCGCTTCCGACCAGGTACCGTAAAACATCATTTTTCACTGTTTATTCATTCTCGCACCACGAATGTAGACCTAACAGACCTAAACTAACAGCTAGCTGGGGTTAGCTCGATTGCTAGCCAACTCTGTGCCATCAATAGTTTACATATTTCAAAACAAGTACCCCCTTCTAGATAATGAGGCAAACTGTCGTCTTTGTTATTGCTGTGGTATTTTAAATTATTTCAGTGATGTTGAGTTATTTTCAGTGTGTCGCAATGGACTTTGTGAATCATCATTCCAGGGTGGAAACATTTGCTCAGAAACTCTTGGAACTGCCCAGAGACATTTTACAGCTTGATAAAATATGTTGGAAGTGCTCAATAAAACTGATTAAAGTTGTTTCCTGTTTTGTTTCAGATCATGGCAGATTTCTCGGTGAGTTTTATGGATCGTATCCCTTTAATTCCTGTCATAATGATTGGATTCCCTTTAGCTTGCAGTGGAAATTACCTGTTTTATGTTGTTGTTGTTGTGAGTGGAGATGGTTATTTATACTTTCTCTTTTTGTTCTGTAGCTGACAGATGCTTTAGGAGATGACACACCGAGCCAGGCTAAGAAAATAGGCCACACTAACCCCACAGCCCCTGCCAGCAATCACCCTGCAGCTCCGAACCCGGGATGGCCCGGTTCTGCCCCAGGAGCTCCCACCCAGCCCTCAGCTCCAGCTGACTTCAGTGGTGGATTGTCTGGCCCAGGAGCCCCAGGGCCATTCCAGTACCCCTCTGGGCCTGGAGCGCCGGGGCAGTACCCGGGACCCCCCTCAGCACCCGGCGGCTTCCCTGCTGGTCCCGGAGTACCTGGACAGTATCCCGCACCGGGAGCTCCGGGTCAGTTTCCCTCCAGCCCCGGGGCGCCCGGACAGTTCCCCGGGCATTATCCATCTGAAGGAACTCCTGGACAGCTGCCCGGAGGCCCCGCTCCTTACCCATCGGGGCCGTTTCCTTCTGGCCCTGGCGCTCCGGCTGGCCCTTACCCGAACGTGCCTTTCCCTGGTGGGCAGCCAGCAGGAGGCAACGGGATGTATGGACCCGGAGGTGAAGGTGGATTTCCCCCTCCGGCCGGTCCAGGATCTTTCCCAGCGTTCCCCGGAGGTGGATTCCCCCCGATACCACCCGGGTCATGGGGATCACCCGGAGGAGGTTTCCCGACCCCGCCTGCACAGTTTGGCCCTGGGCCCATGGGTCCTTACGGTGGTCCTGCTGGTCCAGGAGGCACATTGGTGAGTGTGAGCTCTTCCTGGAGTAAATACGTTGCTTCTCTTGCTCGCTATTCTGCTCTTCTGTAAATCTAAGCCGGGTGTTTTGGTGAAAACAACTCAAGCTTTAGCGGACTAAAAGTTAACTTCTCTCCGTCTGCTGGTGACCTTTGACTGGGAGGTGCGACTGATTCCAGGTTTCTGCTCGGGTGTGCCGCAAATGTAATGTAACGGCAACGCCCTGTTCAGCAGAAATGAACGGAAATGTATTTCTGTCTTTCAGCCCAGATATAACCCACCGTTTTATTGAAAGCAATGAGCTCAACTTTTCAGCCGGACCAGGACGTCCCACCCGATTGGCGCCAAAGATGGAAAGCATCCGCATCGACAAATTGCTGTTGGAACGCAGCATTAAATTCACTGGATTTAATTGTTTCGGTTTTTGTTTTGTTTCAAAGTGCAATATGATATAATTTTACAAATACTGTTTCCACGTATATGCTGCTTTAATCTACTCTTATAATCTGGTCAGATGAAGTTCTCACTTGTCCCTCACATGTATGAGTTTTAATAAAAACCTTTTGATTTGTTCCATGTTGCTTAGACTTCAGTTTGTGCAGGTGCTTGGCTTTTATTGAAATGGGTGGAGATTACGACTCACTCAGGTATCGCATTGGGAATACAGGCAGAGTCAAAATTCTAAGTTCGTTTTTTATTTTATCAATCATTTAAAAGCACCTGGATCACACCTACAGGATATTAACAAGCGGGTAAACAAATTCTCTTTGTATCACATCATTCAAACGCAAAAAAAAAAAAAAAAAAACATTCTGAAAACTGAAGCAGAGGCAATACTGTTAGTATTTACACTGTAAATATTTCCTTTCAGATTGTGCCCTACGATCTCCCCCTCCACGCTGGGATTATGCCGCGCCTTTTAGTCACGGTGATCGGAGAGCCTGTTCCCGGGGCAGACAGGTACGGATTCCCGCCCAAAAAGGAAACAATCCTCAAAGTCTGTGTTAAAAGCCGTGATGTGCTTCAGAAAGACGTCAAAGTAGTATGAATATGAAGTCAGTCTGTGCTTTTTCACTCGGTTATTATAGACGAAGATTAGTGGAAGTGTTGGCACTTTGTCCCATTACAACCACAAATGTCAGTGTATTTTTATTGGGATTTTGCGATGAGCCGTGACATGACTTGAAATCAACAATCGGAGTTTATATTTGTGTAATTTATAAATTCTTCAGGTTCCAGGTTGACTTTCTTAAGGGTCCGGATGTCGTCTTTCACTTCAACCCTCGCTTCAACGAGCAGACCATTGTCCGAAACTCCAACCTAGGAGGTTACTGGGGCCCGGAGGAGCGAGAGGGGCCCTTCCCCTTTGTCCAGGGCCGCCGTTTTGAGGTAAGTTGTTTATTAACGGCATTACAATTTAATGAATGTAAAAAAAATAAAAAAAACTTAATCCCATAAATATTTCTTTTTTGTGTTTTATTGTAATCTGGTAAAAGCGTTGATTTGCCAAGGCAGAAATTACAAAACTACACTACAGACACTAACAGTGCTACAAAACAGAGCAATCAGAATAATCTGAGTTGGAATATCAAAAAAGAAAACACCAACAGATATTTGTAAAAAATTTTAATTGTTAAAGTTCATCAACGTAGCAAAACTTCAGCTGGCTCCAATTTTTTTTGCAAAAGCCAAAAATAAACTAGAACCAGAAAACATTAGAATACGTTTTAAGATGAAGAACCCAATATACAAGTCATGGGAAGAATCACAGTTTAAAACTAAATTCATAACTACTAGTGGAGTCGAACTGTGGAATAATTTGGAAATTGACAGCGTCAAACTTTCCAAATGATCTTACAAATATCACAATTGCTGGGAGCAATTGTGATATTTTTTATTTTTTTGGGGCGTCTTCGTTATTGACACTTGATTTGTTTTTTGACGAAATTTAATGATTGTTTATCTGCCTTAGTTCAAATTAAATAGATTCAATATTGGCAAATGTATGTATTCTATTAATGAACATATATAGTGCTTTTCCAATCACTTTGACCACTCAAAACGCTTTACACTAGAGTCACATTCAGCCATTCGTACACAGATGTGGCAGGAGGAAGCTGGAATCGAACCGGCAACCTTCCGATCACAAGATGAGTACTCTACCCACAGTCACCCTATGGGTTACCCTCTAAATACGTGCTTGGTTATTATATGTATGGATTATACGTGAAATAAAGATTATGCAGGTGGTAAAGGATTGGTTAAGATTAAAATCGACACATTTTAATCTTCCACCCAATCCATTGAATATGCAAAACAAAAGTTTTGACGTAATGGCTTCATGCTGTATTTTATTTTATTTATTTATTCAAAGAATGAGCAAAAGGGTCATATAACTTTTATTTTGTTTGTTGTGTCAAGCAAACATTGCACATTTTTGAAGCACCAATCTCGCATTTCACAAATACCAAAAGTAATTCCTGATCAATCTGATACAGAAACTGCTGAAGTTCTATTAAAAAAAATTCAATGTTTTACTTTTTTTTTGGTTTTGTTTAAGGTTAGGCTCAGGGTTAGCCTAACCCCAACCCTTTTTTTTTTTTTGCGCACGCCAATTTTCTGCGCAGTTCGTGTTCAAAATGTCCGACTTTCGAACTGTTTGACCCAAGCAAATCTTGGTGTTTGTCGCCCCGTCTCGCAGTTGAAGATCCTCGTGGAGGAGGACATGTTCAAGGTGGCCGTGGACGGCAACCACCTGCTGGAATACGAGCACAGAGTGGGCGGCCTGGAAGAGGTGACCGTGCTCCGGGTCACCGGCGACGTCGTCCTGTACAGCGCGGCGCCCAGCATGATCTGAACCCCCAGCCGCTCGCTCGCTCGCTCTCGAAACGATTAGCCCCCAGCGTTTCTGACGACCGCCTGCCTCCACGCCCCCGAATCCCCCCACCCAGCCCTCTCAGACACATGGAGGCAGCTGACGAAGTTGCAAGTGCGGCCAGCAAAGTGCAATTGTCCCTCAAGTGGCACATTTTATCGCAACGACCTGATATAGATTGAATTAAGTTCGCACTTGATAATCCTGTTTTTTTTTTCTACTGAATATCTCATTACAAAATTATGTTTTCACTTTCCTTTTAGAAAATTGTATCAACTGCTTTGCATTTTTTGTTTTCCTTTTTTCATTTTTTTTAAACCTAATTCTAATTAAGGAAAAGATTGAGTGACATAAATGTGTAACCAATTAAGTAAGGAATAATTTATTATATACAAAAAGGAAGATTGTAAGCTAAGCAGGAAGGAAGACGTGTTTCAGGCGTTTCATTTTATTTCGGCAGTGTTTTGTTTACATGTTCATTATTTCGTCACAACATAAACGCGACAAGCCTTTGTAGTGCATGAAAGTGTGATGCTGAAAATGTCACTTTTATTTCAGTGCTGAACCACGACCCTCTGGAGTCACATATAGTAGGCTAATCATGAAGTTTCTTCAAATGTAAGTATTTATATGCAGTGTTTGTTCCTCTTCTCTTCAGCTGTTTCTCTCCCGACCTTTCATGTTACCCCATGTTTGAACAAAACAGCGAAAAGGTGGCAACTAGTTATTAAATTAAAATGTGTGTGGGAGAGATTCTGACTTAGTGCCAAAGAGAAGTGGTACATATTTTGAATTTCTAAATAAAAGGACTATGTAAAACTTTCAACTTGTGAGCTATCAGTTGTATTTATTTATTTTTACTGATAAGGTTGTTGGACATATCTGACTTATTCAGATTAGTTTTTATGAAACTAGTCTGTTTTTTTTTTTTTTTACTTTATATTATACATATGAGTCAAATATTAAACCTGAGAGTCTTTTTTATTATTATTTATTAATAAATAATAAAAAAAATAACTCACTGGGTTAACATTTCTTCTAGCTGCCATATTTGACTTTTTTCCTTTGTGTTGGTCAGTAGAAACTTAGTAAAAAGATTACATTTTTCTTCCACTTTTTTTTTCATATGTTTGAGTTTATCAGCCCTAATATTTTAGTTCAGATGTTTAGATAGTTTGTAAATACAATGTTAAGACTCTTTTGATATAGTTTTTGGAGTCCTTGGCAAAAAAGCAACTTAAAATTAATTCATCAAATGAAAGCTTTAATTTGGTCATATTATTATTCAATGACCTTTTAACAAAAACATTAACATTTTTAATAAAATTAGTGAGGATGTAGTTATGAATTAAACTTTTTTTGTTATTTAATTTATGCTTGAAATGAACTGATAACTGTCCAGGAATCTCCTGACAACGACAGACATGAAATGACAGAGAAGTCCACCCATAACTATGATGGACAGCAGCATAATCAGATTAAAGGTTAGTCCAATGTTTGTTTAGCTTTGAAATTTAATTCAGAGGTCAGCCTGCAGTTCCTTGTTTTCCCGTCAGGGGGCAGGAGTTAGACATAACCCGATCGCAGCGGACGGAGCAAAATCGAAACTCTTCAATGAAGAGTCCACCTTCAGAGAAATAGGTTTTTTGTTTTGTTTTGGTTTCTCCCCCCACCCCCCCCCCCCCCCCCCCCCCCCCCCCCCCCCCCCCCCCCCCCCCCCCCCCCCCCCCCCCCCCCCCCATCGTCTCTTATTTTAATCTTGGCAAAAATGAACGGGTCGTTGCACTCCCGCCCGAGACTTGTAGACATAAGTCTGAACCGAGGACCCGCAGGTAAGAAGAAGACTTTGTCGGACAGTTAGCGAACCGTGTTGGCGATGCTAGCTGACTACGTTGCACCGAAGAAGAAGAAGAAGGACGGAAAAAAAAACAATCCTCTCCGCAACCTGGAGCTAAAGGCTAATTAATCTAGAAAGTCGAACTACGTCCCGTGTTACTTTGTCTCGTTGTGTCAAAGTTGTTATTTAGCTCAGGGAAGCTGCCAGAGTTTCAGTTTAACACATTGGAAATGACAAACTTGGCAAAAACTGAGTTTTTTTAAATTTTTCTTCCCCCTATTAAAAAAGTAGCATTACTCCTCTGGCTGGCCCTCGTGAAGCTAGTTGCTTAACGTCTGAAGCTGCAACATAGAGCTAAATAATTAGAAACTTTGCTTCCTCGCTATTCGCTTGAACTTTGATCCACTGAGGTCCATTTGACGAGCAGCAGCTTCCTGTGCTAACAGCTGCGCTCCATGTTTACTGCTTGCATGACCACCAGCCCAGCTGATCCGATTGTATGACCGCGTGTTTTCTTTCCGTTTTCTCCAGGTCTCGGGTTCAATATAATTGGGGGCATCGACCATCAATGGATAACGAACGATAATGGCGTCTACGTCAGCAAAATCAAAGAAGGTGGATCAGCAGCAGTAGATGGACGACTCCAAGAGGGAGACAAGATTCTTGCAGTAATACAATATATTCTTAAAATATATATATATATATAAAAATTTTCACATTCTCTCATTTTCCTAAGTGTATTCCGTTGGGATTTTGAGTGAGAGCGACGTAAACTTGTGCATAGTTGTAGAAATGGCAGGAAAGTGATAGAATTGTCAAACTTTTGATCTCCATTGCATTTTTCTTTTTCTTCCATCTTTTCTTTTTCACTTTTAGAATACCTAAAGTTTTGTCAGATTAGGTTCACAAGCCTGGCCAAAGATGCTCCATGTTGTACAGTTAAGCCTGAATATCAACATGAATATTGTTTTATTTCAACTATCCCAGGGTAGCTGTGGTAGTTCAGTTGTTTTTGTCATTGAGTTCATGACTGATATAAACTTTTTTTTTAAAGCAACAAATGTGTGGAAAGTCCAAGTGGGTGAACACTGCAAGTTGCTTAGACGTTTTTTTTATTGTTTTTTTTTTTGTCTACCAGTTTTCAAAACCGCGCATCGTGGAGGGTGTCGATATTTCAGAAAATCTAGCAGTCTGAGCAAAAAATGAAACTAATGATGAACTGCTGTCTGGCTGCGCAGACATCTGATCTGAGTTTTGTCATGTGGATGTTGCAGATAAACGGCGTCTCGCTTGAGAACCGCTACCACCACGAAGTGGTGGAACTGTTCAGGTCCGCCGGGGAGAGCGTCCAGCTCCGCGTCATGAAAAAGGTAGCTGAAAATATTCTGATTTTTCATGGGCTTTTTTATGTTTCTTTGCGTTTTAGATGTGACTCCACTATTGCTCCTGTGTTTTTATCTAGACAGACTATTAAATCGTACTTGCATAAAAATGGACTTGCCGCTATATAACACAAAAACTTGTGCTAATTGTTTCCACATCCAATAATGCTTTAAAAATAGCTCTGTTTTTGATAACTGAAAATGGCAGAAGAAATACAAATTGATAAAACAAATTTTGGAAGTAGTAATTTATTTGTCCTTAATGAATGAATCACAGTCTTACAGAAATTAAACAGTGAGCTCCAAAAGCAGTTTAAAGAGTGACTATTATGTTATTTCTTGCCCAGCCCTGTTTCTATGTGATTTTGTTTACCTGTTTTTTGTTGTTGTTTTTTTTTTTTTCTGTCTTGCAGTCTCACCTAAGTAACGGACCAGCCACCTCCAAACCTAATCGCAATCCTTCCACGTCTACTCTGGGAATGCTGGCCTTATTTTCTGGAGCCGTGTCGATCATTGTTATAATAGCTCTTTATAAACGGCTTAAATAGGCTTTTCTTTTTAATATACGTGTATTATGTATCTGAGCTGACAATATCTGTCATTTTGTTTTAGAATCAAAAACTTTGCTAAATGCCAACAAAATAAATAAAAAATAAAGAAGCAGACGTGAACGGTAGACCTTTTCCTGATTGGCAGGTGAAATGGCATCACGGTTTAGTTTACTTCCATATTCGTGCATATTCTGTGAGTTAACGGTAGCTTCTTCGGCGCAACAGAAGCCGTCAGCCAACGCTGAGGCGTTCAGGAAGCCAGCTTTTACGGCGGCTTCCTGTCAATTTTCCTCGCGACAGTGCTTCATAGTTTCTCCGAGGGGTTTAGGTGAGCCAAGTTTCCTGGCCAAAACAATCACGTTTTGGTCATCAAAAGCAGGCGTTTGTGCTTTTCTCAATCGCTTGTGTGACATTTTTCGCCACACGCTTTCTCTCCACTTCGCATCTCGTCAGTGCTCTTGGATTCTGTGCTCTGCGTACGTTTCTATTCGAAAGCCCATACACCCGACGGGTTTTCACCAGCTGCAAGCGGTGATTATTGGAATTAGCATCAGCTGTTCAAATATATCACTTTGTGTAATAGATTTAAGAGTTTCGCTTTCTGAATGCATCTATGGAATTAAAGTTTTTAGTAATCGAGTTTCTTCCCTCACGGCATTGGGAGGTGCTCTCGTCACTCATTAAACCCGGCTTTCGCAGATATAATTCAATTATAAAAACCATATATTTGATTTTTTACTGAAATGGAGATGTTCTGATTGTACAAGTGAAGGGATCAATTTGTTTGTTTGTTTCATTGTGAGCAGTGTTGCAGTTAACTCACTACTTTTGCGTTTTGCACTACAGCGACACTCATGGAGGTTTTCAGGTAGAAACAGGTTTGAACAGAAATTAATGTTTTTTTGTTTTTCTTTCGGTCACAACAATCACATCACCATCTCTACCTGTGGCTAATTGTATGTAAATACATTTCTCCTGTGAGACATTGTGAATATGTGCAGTACGCCAGAAAAGAAAATCACGAGCACTATTAAATTATGCAAATATTCTGTTCGACATGCAGATATGTAATAAATTTTGTTTAATTCACCTGGTGTTTATTGCTTTATTTCCACTTTAGCAGTATTTTTGATAGGCAATACTTGTTTTGTGTTTATTATGAATTGAAAGTGAAAATTGTAGTAATAAATGAGGTTTGACATTCATTCATACATTCCACTTTAAAAAATAAATAAATAAATAAAAGCTAATTTGATATTGTCTAAATAAAGTCGGTAGCTTCCCCCAGGTTGGATTTGATATGGTTTCTGTCCAGGGCGGCATGATGTGGAGAGTGCAGTTGGGCATAAAATAAAAAATTAAAAAAAACATTCAAGTTATTCAATCATTTCAAATAAAACAGCATTGTCAAATTTACTTTCTCGGATAAAAAATAAAGTATCTGATTGAAATTTTTTTTATTATTTTTGTCATATCCCCTGATTTTTATTATTATTATTATTTATTTATTTAAACGCCTCAAGTTAAGTGAATTAACTTTTAGAAGAGTCTGGCTTGTCCAGCCCATTTATTTGGGGGGCCGGAAGGAGTGCGCTGGGCAGGGCCCCATTAATTCAAGCTCCGCCCCTGGATCGCCGCTGCGTTTGGGATCTGGCAGCGCGGCTGCTAAACTAGTTGAATTTTCATATGAAATTATAGCTCACGACCTGATTCACACAGTTTCCCCCACGATTTCAGCACGTCTTATAATGATGCAATAACGAGCAAATATCTAATAGGATTAGTATTATTTCCAGTGACCATATATTTAAAAAAAAAAAGAGAGAGAGAAGAAGAAGAAGCTCGTCTGGACTGAAACAAACGGCGCCTTTTCGTGGGCCAAATGTTCTGCTGGCCTCCCACCGGCGGCCCGGGCTCCCATCAGCTGTTCGGAGGGACGGCCCGGAGGCAGAAATGATGTAATCAGGCAGAGAGGCAGAGCCAGAGCTGGGTCCGTCTCCGCTCCAGAGCCCGCCTCATGGAGCCGGTGAACGAGGGAGCAGCTCGGCGCCGCGGGGTCTTTGCTTGAGCCGCTCGTCCTTTTTTCTCCTCGCGGGGGCAGAGACGGTGATTCTGGACGCGCTCCGGCTCCGGCACCGACCCGGAGATGCTCGCTGGTGAAATCCCTTCCCCGTGATACAGCGGGGCCGCGCGGGCCAGCAGCCCCTCTCCCTCTCCCGCACCTGCTGCGGCGTCGGCCGAGCGGGAGATGCTCCCATCGCCGCTTCCTTCTGTCGACAACATCAGGCCTCCTCGCCCACGATGATGACAGCAGGGCGCGTGCAGGCCCCCTGTGTGTGTGTGCGTGTGTGTGTTGTTTTGTTTTCACTCCTCGTACGAATCACAGAATCGGCTCTGATCCGATGTACTAAGAAGAACTAGTCGCCGTTGTTTTTTTTTTCAATTATTATTTTTATTTTATTTTGCTTAATCACATCTCTATACTGCCGGGATCGATTTTCTTTTGCGTGTGTTTTTCCCCCCACTGACCTCCGGAGATGATCGCGGTGTCCGTGCAGTAGCGGTTCCTCAGCCGGTGGGTGGCTGAGTGGAGGGCGGGGGGATGAGCTGAAGCCTATCCGCAGCAGTCCGCCGTGAGCCCCGGTGACTTTACAGGAGCGTGGAGGGGGGACTGGGGGGAGCGGGGGAGGGCATGAAGGGGTGTGTGGTGCTGACCGTCTGATAAAGCGTGGGGTCAAGGATCGCTTGTCCTCCCAGCTCAGGTTTGAACCATGGCCAATGAACCTGTGATCCTTAACGTGTATGACATGGTAAGCAAAACGCTCACTTATTTTGGTTGGTTGGTTGTGTGTGTGTGTGTGTGTGTGTGTGTGTGTGTGTGTGTGTGTGTGTGTGCGTGTGTGTGTGTGTGTGTGTGTGGGGGGGGGGGGGGGGGGTGACTCGTGTAAAGGCATAAACGCATGAACTGTTGTTCCACGTCTCTGCTGTTTCACAACCGGCGTCGCAATAATGTTGACGCGGTTTGATTGACTTGAAGTCAAAGGGAAAAAAAAAAAAAAAAAAAAAGGATAGATCTGAAAAGTGTGGCCTGCCTTTTTTATCCACTGTGACAAGTCTTTAGTATTCACCTGAATGAATCATTTGATCTCAGTGTAGATGCTATCTAATTGATGAAGGTCTCAGGAGTTTGCCAACATCACACAGGCCGACCTTTTAACCAAAAAAAAAAAAAAAAAGAAAACAGCATAGCTTAAGTGGGAAAATTTGTCAGCATGAGCAAAGTGGACCTGCAGACTTTAATCTAATTGAGAATCCATGGACAGACCTGAGCGCTGATGTTTCTGTGTGCATGTTCTCTATCTCGTCTGACTCAGTGGGAGGCATTTTTTTTAAACGAAGAACGGCAACAATGTTGCGTGGATGCGCAGACAACCCGTTCAATCGGCCGTAGTCTAACTGAAAAGTCCATTTATTTCAGGAACGTAGTCGCTAAAAGTGAGACATGTTTTATGGATGGATGTCGGAAAGCCTCTACTTCTGCTAATCACGATGACGTCCCAACTCTCAGCTGATAAAACACCATTTTTAAAAGTAGAATATTACATCAGGCCAATTAAAAAACAAACATTTTCAACACAGAAATGTTGGCTAAATGAAAAGTGTGCTTAATGCCTACTTAAGAGGTGCTTTTATTCTGATAAGCCAGTCTCATCTCTCCTCAATATCCTTGAATATGATTGTACAACCTTAACTGCAGCTGAGGGTAAAACTACAAAACCAGACTTTAATGTTTAAAACTGCCATTTTCACATAACACCCCTTTTAATAGAGTTTCCAGTTGTGACGTCAAAATAAAAGAGAAAGAAATCACAGGACAAGAATCTTGTTAAACGTTATTGTATCTTTTTTCATTTGTCTTTGTTTTCAAAAGACGGTTTTAAAGTCTAACTCAGTCTTAAAACATAACACAAGAGTACAGGGACCAAACGACCCAGTTGAAGACTGAAAGGGCCTCGCGAGCGGGGGAAAGTCTTTACCGCCGTCCTCTCCTTCTTTGCGTCCGTTCACAAGAAAGCGGAGAAGACACGTCGCAAAAAATGCCTATTTATACTCTGGGCTCGGAGCTGTGAAACGTGATGCTCTGCCGGCTCTCTGACCTCTGCCGCTGCGTCCCCGGTCCCCACAGACTCAAAAGACAAGGGTCCTCCTTCAGACCTGCACGCGCCTCTTGCTTTTTGCATTCGGCTGGATCTCATGCATGACGTACAGCCTGTCATTGCAGCAGCTGCTTCATTTTCTGAAAATCGGTGTGATTGGATGACGATTCAAAGAGGAGAAATCGTGATTTGAAGCAGTGATGCGTCACAATCTGTTGGCAATGCCTGCGAAGAAGCTTTCGTACGCGTTTACATCCACTGACACAACCAGCATGTTGTAGCTACACAGAGACACAGCTGCGTCACCTATCTGTGGCTTGAATAAACTCTAGATAGGTGGTGTTTGTGTGATTTGGGGGATGTGGGCTGTTACTCAGGGCTGCAATAGAAAGGGGGCGCTGAAAAATGCATCGTACCATTTGTGTCTTTTGCAAGTTTTCTATTGCTTTAATGCAATAGAAAAGAAGTCAATGCATAGTTAGGATCCTCCGCTTGGTGCTGGGAATAAAGAGGCCATTTTAGGTCATTTTTAGATTGGCTTTGGGGCGGCAGAAGGAGGGAGGGGCTTACCCAGGACACTGTTTATGCAGGAACCTCCACTGCCTGCATCCCACAGGCAACCTGTTCGTGGAGCTGTGAATGTTAAAGGAGAAAACTAACAGGTGGCCTACTGGCACAAGTCAGCACAATGACGGAGCTGTCAGTGATTTTGTGAAAAAATGTAAAAGAAAAACGTATTTCTTACTGTGGGATTCTCATCCTTCATCGAAGAAACGTGCTCCAAGTGAACGCTGGCCTTTTTGCACTTCTTTACCAGACATACTTTTAGCATTGGATACTTTCTGACAGCAAGGGCCTCAGCGCGCCACCAGGCGTAACAACGACTCTCAAACGTCCAGATTAATTTCTAACCAACTGGTCACACTGGGCTGTTTGAGCCCTGGAAAAAAAAACAAACCAAAACAAAACAACAGTAATCACGGGGGCGGAGGCGGTCGAATTCCTCCGCAAAAATTTACCACAAGAATAATAAAAGAAGGCAGCGGGAGTGAGTCATACCAGCAGGGAGGAAGATGAACTGATTGTCGACAAAGGGACCAGCAAGGCTTGCAAAAGCAAGAGTGACAAGCGTGGAAAGAGCCTCCACTTGTCTTTGGGCTCCGTTACGAGAGCCAGGCGTGTCGGATTTTGCCACGGCGCTAGAAAATGTTCGCCGCGTTGTGTTGTTTTCCGGCGCGGAAGCCGAGAGTCGAGTGCCCCCGATGCATTGCAGGCATAAAAACAGCAGAGAGCCTACGGAGCTCACTGGAGAAACTTGACGAGGCTCAGCTGACACAGAGCAATGCCGTGGGAACGCTTTAAGAGCGTGACTCTGGGACCGGAAATGTGTTTTATGATTGATAAGAGGCAGCTGGGGCAACTCTAAGCGCGTTTTCTCGTGGAGCCTAAAAGTGTGGATGCCTCAGTGGGTGGAGCAGCTGCTGTCTGATCAGCTGTCAGCAGAGAGAGGTCAGGAAGTAATGGCTACCTATTTCCATCGTTTGTGACTCACTGTGAATCGTTGACATGAAGGATCCATCAGCGTTTCTGTTTAGAGTTTACCAGAAATGCTCTGATACTACCAGTAAATGCGTGACAGGTTAACGCTAACTTTAACTCTGAGTACCATTAAGTCCAGATTTATTCTGGTTTCGCTTCCTTCGTCAGCCTTAAACCTCTAAGATCATGGGTCGGATGAGAGTGGTGCGCTTGCAGCTACACTCCAGCTCAGCTCTTCCGCCGTGTCGTCCGGCAGCGGACTTTGCTGGAATGATGTTGCTGTGAGCTGCCGGTTGCGGTGGAGGGAAGTGGACGGGCCAGGAGTCTGCGCTAATCCAGATTAGGGCCGTTGCAGAGGGCCAGGTGTGCTTTCAAAGAACGTTTATGGATCTGAAGAACTCAAAATTTATTATTCTTCTGAACTTTGGATCACAAAAATAGTTTTATTTATTTATTTATTTTCTAAACATTTTTTTTCTTTTTTTAAGTTTAAAAATGGGTATTAGCTGCACTTTTCAATGTTAATCCCAAAATCAAAATGAACAGTTCTGTTTCCAATCAGACGTCGGCTAAGGTTTAGAGCTATCTGCACCTAAACTTTGAGGAAATGTCAACTGGCTGTTCAATTGAATATAAACCAATCTTGGTTTAGTAACACTATTACCTCGACCATTTTTTGCAAATATTTCTATTTGAAATTTATTTCCAAAATGCTTTATTTCTAAAGTAGCTCCACAAAATAAAGTAATTTTAACTCCTTAGAATTACAAAAAGAAATAATAATTAAAAAAAAGGCAATCTCAAAATCCTGGAGGGACTAATCAGCGTCCAATGTAATTTAAAGAAATGCTTACTGAATGCAGACACAGCTGTTTCTGAATATTTTAACAATCTGTTAATGGGTAGTTTTATCAATTCATTCTGGCACAACTGGTCCTTTGAGAACTTTTATGATCTTGATCTCGGCCCAAAATCACGGTGGCCTTGAAGGCACCAATTCCTTCTGCACAGTGTGTGACTATCTTGCCAATAATCCTTAAGTAGAGCTTTTTACATGAACTATTGTAGGTGATACTAACTCATAACTCGGAGGTCTAAGTTAAAACGTGCTAAAACACTTAATCTCAAACACTCTGTTTTGGCCTCCGAGATCTTTGTGACAACACGAAGAAAGCATGTCTTCCCAAAATGTGAATCTTAAACGGTTGACTCAAATCCTTTCTCTTATTTAAGCCATGCCGTAAATGGCCTCTGCTACTCTCAGGCGTTGTGGGGTTTTGATCTAGGAGCCGGTGCTTTTTCTGCATTATTTAAGGTGACAGGATGAGAACATGTCTGTCGAGCCGCCGCACAGCCTCTGCTCCCTCACTCCGTCTTTCTCTCCTCGTTTTCTCCGCAGTACTGGATAAACGAATACACCTCCAATCTGGGCATTGGAGTCTTCCACTCAGGCATCGAGATTTATGGCAGAGGTAAGACAAGGACCGTCTTGATGTCTGTGAAATCCCATCACGCATTCCCGAGTCGAGGGCGGCCCTGGGGCGACACGGAGCTGCGCTCGGTGACGGCCGTATAGTGAGATTTGTGGAAGGCAGATGAAATTTGGAGGGGGAAAAAAATGGAATATGGAATTGTGCTCCGAATAGCCTGACCCCGTTTCTCTTGGTTGAGTCACCACTGACTCACTCTGTGTTTATGTGTGTGTGCGTGTGTGTGTGTGTGTGTGTGTGTGTGTGTGTGTGTGTGTGTGTGTGTGTGTGTGTGTGTGTGTGTGTGTGTGTGTGTGTGTGTGGGTGTGTGGACTGAAATAGAGGGGCAGAATCCCTGGTGAAACTTGATCTCTGGAAATCCAGTATGCCCTTGGAACTGGACATTTTGGCTCTGTGCACAGAGAAAAATGGTGACAGTCTGGGGCCTGACTTTAGAAAGGGCTCACAGGGGCAGTAGCCCAGGGCGCCATTTTTGGGAGGAGAGGCAAAGACTTTTATTTTATTTCATTTAATCATTTTTTTTATTATTTAATGAATGCTTACTTTTTCAAACATTGTACTTTATAGGCCCAAGTCATGTGTGTTATCTTTTTTTCATCAATATATTGATATTCAAGTATTTGAAAATGACAAAGATATCGTTGAATTATTTGGGAATCCTATGGATTTATAAGCTATTAAGCATCAGTTCATACTTACTGAAGTATTCTAGTAGAATTATATATTATTGTACTTTAATTTACACTAGTGAAAGAATTCTTCCTTAGTGGATCGGGCACCAAAGCTGGGTGCAGCCCAGGGCCCCACATCCTGGTAAATACACCCCTGGTGACGGTGAAGACATAACATAAGCTGTCGTTTGCTGTTGCTCTCTACTCTCTGTGCTCTAATGATAGGGAGTAAAGCCCTACATTCAAGCCAGCCCAAATTATTTAATTACAACATCCGTGATCAATCGCTCTCTTCTCTGTAATTACAGAGGCGGAGGTCTTTTTTCCCCTCCGTCTTCTTTCGGGGGGGAGACGTCTAATCTGAATTTTGCATCTTCTTCCACTTTCCCGCAGAGTTTGCGTACGGCGGTCACCCCTACCCTTTCAGCGGCATCTTTGAAATCAACCCCGGCAACGCCGCGGAGCTGGGAGAGACCTTCAAATTCAAGTGAGCACGCGTCCTTATTTCAGCAGGTCGGAGTGCGCCGGGCGCCCTGACCCCCCACACTGTCTGTCTGTTTCCAACAGGGAGGCCATTGTTTTGGGCACCACGGACTTCACAGAGGAGGACATAGATAAAATCATGGAGGAGCTCGGTAAAGAGTTCAAAGGGAACGCCTACCACCTGATGCACAAAAACTGCAACCACTTCTCCTCCTCGCTGTCTGAGGTCAGTCTGATGTAACTCTTCCTCCCAAAGGAGAGACAGCATCAAAACACCATGCACTGTATGGTTTCTGCGCCGCATTCTCTCTCCACACGTATGCTCAAACTTGGAAAAAAAAGTATATGTTTGGAAGAAATGATAACTTTTAAAAATTAAAGGAAACAGTGCTGGTGAAAGGAAAGAAATTAACAAAAGATATTTAATTTTTGTAATTACACTGTGCGTTCTTCTGAACTAGTGGTTGTTGTGCTCCGTCTGATTTTTTTTCTTCTTTTTTTTTAGAAAAGAAGCGAACAAAAAAAGCTAAGCGTGCCATTTTCGTCAGCCTTTGTCTCTTCAAAAGCAGAAGCAAAATGCACAACACAAAACAGAACGAGTTTGTTGTTAGTTAGTCGGGCTAATAACTATTCGTTTTGGTAATCGATTAATCGATTATTGACAGTAACTTGATTAATGAGACAAAAAAAAAAACAAACGAAAAAAACATGGCACCCCCCACAGATTTTTTATTTGACCACTATATTAGAAATAAACTTAAAAACGCAAATAAGTCATTAAATTCCTTTTTGCAAATGAGAAAATAAACATTTTATTGCCTGAAATGCGGTAAGGGAATCTTCTGAACGGGGTGAGGCTAAAACTGTGCAACTTGAGGAATTTTGGCTAAAATCTATTTTCAGATAAATTCTTTTATGTCAAATGCAAAATGGATTTATTTTGTATAATTTTAGCTTACTTACCTGTGAATATTTTTTTATTTATTTTTTTCAGCTAATGACATCGTGTCTCAGTCTCTGTACTCCAACTGACGACTAATCGATTGCTAAGTCAGTTGACCGTTTCTTCAATAATCAATCAATCCGCCCTAAGCTTGTCATTTCACAGTTAAAAGTGACTCCGCGGAGACAAACGTCACTGTAAGCGCGAACTAAACTCCACAGATATAAAGAACAGAATTGTTTAGAAATTCAGAACTTTTTTTTCTTAAAAAAAGTTTTAAGAAACCAGTAGTAGTGTAATTTATGTCTGGTCCTCTTCTGGCCCCTGAACGCACCGTCCCACTGATGAATGTTGGCGTTTGCGTCATTCTGTGAAACAACAGAACTGGTGTGAGTTGATGAGGGAGACGAATGGAGCTGATACAGGGCAATTAGACGGAACGTTACTGTAATTTCTTTGCCGTAAAAATTACAGTAGCTTACTGGCAACTCTGCTGCCAGTAAGGTAGTGTAAATTCTGCAGCAGCTTTTTTCACAGTGTCGTTAGCATGGGAAACAATGAACGGTTGAGGGGGTTTCCTGTAACCATAAGTTGCTTCTCTGCCATTAGCACATTTAGCAGCGAGTACATGTGAGTGATTGACAGAGCTTAGACACTCCTCTTGGCTCTGATTGGTTGTCTTTGATTGGGAGTGGTGCATTTTTTCAGACAGCAATAGTAGCGTTAGACAATAGAATCAATTTAAAAGAAAAAAAAAGGTTCCCATATTTGAAAGTTGTTTTCACAAATACACGTAAATATAAACAAAAGCAGCCAATGTCAATCAGGTAGCACTAACGTGGGATTTTGATGACTTTGGATATTTTATTAACTTTTATTCAAAACTTGATAATAAAGTAATAGTTAGCACCAGAATATCCTCAGGGTTTTAACAAATAATTTTTCCTCTTATAGATTTCTTCTCTCTGTTTCTCGCCTCAAGGTTCATGGCAAAATTAGTTTGATGGTCTTAATAATCTAAGTCTGACAAAAAAAAAAAAAAAAAAAGAAACGCGAACAAATCTATAAGGAATAAAAAGTTTTCATTCCTAATCTGTAAACTTATTTATCAGTTTGCAAAAATTTATAACCTAAGATTTGTTTTGTGGTTACACGCTGCGCTCACCGTTGTGTGTGTGTGTGATTGTTTTTTTTTTACCCTCTGATTCAGTTGCTGTGTGGAAGAGAAATCCCCCGCTGGGTCAACAGACTGGCTTACTTCAGCTCCTGCATCCCCTTTCTTCAGAGCTGCCTACCCAAAGAGTGGCTGACCCCGGCCGCTCTGCAGAGCCACATCAGCCTCGGCCTCCACAAGGAGGAGCAGAATGACTCGAGCGACGAGGACCCCACGTCGCCGTCCGGCGCGGCCGCCGCCGGCTCGGGTTCCTCCCACAGCTGTCGCCACACCCGGGTGTGACCCGACCGGCTCGCTCGCCCGCCGACCTCTGGACCCTCGCCGTTGTTGCAGGAGGCTTCAGTTGGCTTTGAACAACCAACTGACCTCGTACTGTTTGGCCTCTGAATGAAAAGAGACTGGAAGCGTGAGCTTGCTTCTTGGTGCGGGAACTGTTGACGGACTCTTCGAACCTGGAGACTCCTTGACGGAAAGACTGGAAGGAAACTCTGAGACCTCGAAGGGTCGGTTCTGACTCCAGCCGTACACACTTGTAGATCCGACATTTGTAGTGTAACATTCTTAGTCTTTTCCACAAAAATTCAACAAAAAACCTTTGTCAGCCTTGTTTCCTGCCCTGCCTTTCGAAGCTGCTTTTGTAGAAAAAAACTCAAACTTTCTAGGTAGTAACAGTACCAGGAAACTGCTAATCTCCACAAGTTCAGCAAGTCCTCGTTTAATAACCTCTATGTGGCCTTCAGATGATATCGCTGATTCCAGTTTCTTAAGGTGTGACTATTCTGTGGCCATTTCAGAGGATGAACAGGTCAGTTTTGGGTGGGAGTTGATTGGGGTTGATATTTCTTTAAAGAGAGAAAACGTTGCATGTTGAGACAATGTCATAAGTTAGACCGCTAACCGGAGATGGGAAGGAACGACGCAGTGCTTGACCTCTTACAGATTTTGTTTTGTTTTAAATTTTAATATCAGAGAGAGATAACCCAAATAGGTAAAAAAGAAAAGTCTTTTTTTTAATTATTCCCTTTCTGAAGTGACAAAAGTTACCCAAACCAACCTGACAGCAGATGAAAATAGGAATGTCCACTGTAGTTTCAGTAGTTACATTCTCATTCTCAGACATGTTTAAGTCCCTTCAACCAAACCTGCCTGACAACTCGAAGTAGGCTAAAAGCTCACAGAAAGCAACTGAGTATTCTCAAATTTAAAGAAATTCAAAAAATTTGCACTTCAGAGAAGCGCAATGAGTGCAATTAACTACAAGTGGAGAAAACTTGAATTGATAGAAAATCTTCTAGTGGTGCTGACTGACTGGAAACAATCCTGCAAAGAAGGGAGGGTTAAAACTAATCTACAAAGACGTAAAGGTCTCTTTGCGGTTGCTGCAAATGCTTGGCGGAAGATGTCGCCACCAAAGAGTGGAGGGCGATCAGTTGCTTTAAACAGCCTTTTTGATTGAATGCGTAATGGAAAACGCAAAAGTAAACAGAAGAAATCTGTGAGCTGGCAAATACTTTTTACCCCCGTCGAGTCGTCATGTAAAACCTCCTCATGATCTTCTTGTAGAGGAAAATCTCTTCACTGGGAATTGCAGCGTGAATAAGCCATTAGCCGAGTAACCAGTTTCTTAACGGTTGCACACAATCAAGAGTTGAGCGTTTCGGCTGAAACAGCTGCTGTTCAGCGAGCCTCAGGCAGCTCGGTCACTGACTCTGACCGTCTCAGAGAAAAGGTTCTATCTAGCCGCTGCTCTCTCAGTTACCGACTCTGTGACCTAGCGCAGTTTTTCTGACTACTCTTTTATATCCAAGTGATCTTTGTACTGTTAACATCTTTTCCAGCCAGAATCAGCTGAGCCCAACCAATTCCCCCCTCTCCCCCCCACTTTTTCATCATTAGAACCACAGAGACAGAGGTGCTGCGATAAAGAGGAGCAGAAATCTGTCCTTTCCATTCCGTCAAGAGTCCGACATGTCGTGTGTGCAGTTTCTGTGAGTTCGGCTTAGCATTGAGATTGGCCCCTTCGTAGGTCACAGCTCAGCCCCGCTGTACTGACTTCTTAAACTGGTGGCAAAACGACAAATCCGGATTGGTGTTGAGAGATTACGTGCTGAACTGTTTCTCGCTTTAGCACCAGCTGCACGGAAAGAGACGTTCCTGGAATGTCTCTGGGTATAAACACATAATAATCGTCTAAACAAAAAAAAAAAAAAAAAAAAAAGATGCATTGCTTTGCCATTTGATTTGTTTTTTGTTTTTGTTGATGATTATGCAAGCCACATGTCGGAGGTGCTGGGAAGAAGATTTTAATACCCTGGGACACCTCTGCCTGCTTTCCAACTCTGTTTCTCAAAAAGTGAGACAACGTAAAAAATTCAACCAAGAGCAGAACGAGCCCAGAGGCTTACAGCGAAGGAAATGGTGACGAACTGAAATGCATGTTAGGCCGATTTGCATTTTCACAGCAAACGTTTGGGAAGTGCAGTAAATGTTGTGTGTAGTTTGGAGCATGTGCTGATTTAATAAGTCGTGACGTCAGCAAGGTGGAAAGTAATCATGTTTTTCCGGACTCCCAAAATCTGCACCGAAAACAGATTTATAGGAACAGTGCAAAAGTATTCTTACCACTTAAGGTTTTCCATATTTTTGTCATGTTACAGCCGCAATCTTCAATGAATTTTAATGGGATTTCACAGGTTAGATCAAAACAAAGTAGTGAAGTGAGAGGAAAATACTACAGCAAATGTTTTTTTTTTGTAGCTTTGTAAAAAAACTATTTGAAAGTTTTGCCATGCATTTGATACAACCTTTTGTTGCAAAAATAGTTGGAACTCTTCACCTCTTCTCCTTTAGAATACAAATGTACTGAATTTCATTCACGCTTACCTGCGTAAAAGGGGCTGAACACAAATGAATGCTACACTTTTCAGGTTTTTATTTGTGAAATTTCTTCTTTAAAATGCCACAATTTCCATTAGTTTCACTGTCGTGGCGTAGTTTTACTGGTCTGTCGGGTTAAACCCCAGTGAAATTCATTGACGTTTGTGGTTAAAATGTGAAAACTGAGAAAAGCTCATGGAGTATGAAAACTTTTCCTAGGAACTTTACCTCTTTTCTTTAGCAGGGAAGAAGATGCAGCATATATGGTCCGACCCAAAGAATTGTCAGAATAAAAGATTTCTGGTTTACAGCCTGAGGACTACTTAAGGTTTTCACACCTTAGTCTTTGTATTTCCATATTTCCCCAAATCCTTTAAACATATTTTGTTCTCTGGATCTGAACATCAACCGTCTCCTGGAAAAACTGTACACATGGCTGGTATTTTTTTAATTTTATTTATTTACCTGTTTTTAGGTAAATTAGTCACACTTTTACACATTTCTCACAATTTTGCTTCCTGTGTGTACCGTTTCTCTCCCCAAGCTTTTTGAAATGTCACACCTCATTTAAAATGAACATGTTTAATACGATTCATTTTGATCACTTGGCATGACATGTCACACGTTCAGTAGGATTTTTGTGTTGGCCCCTATGCGTCCCTGTGTCTGCATCACAGAAATTTTCCCCAAAGTTTATCTCTGTCGCAAGAACGACAGATTTCTGCAAAGAGAGTCAATCGTCACGTTTTGCAGCACTCCAGTCATGATTGAGCTCAAAAGGCATGACGGCAGATGAGCTTGAACGACTGCGGTGGTCTGCAGTGAATCCGGCTTGCGTTGGTTTTGACCTGGCTGGCACAAGGTTGCACGATTTGAATCACTTTTCCTGGTAGAGCCGTTTTGTTGTGCAGCCGCCCCTCTCTCAGGAAGGAAATCACATGGCTTCTGGAACAACTGGCTGAATCCCACAGGGGATGGGCTTAAAAGTGCAGATCAGTCGTTTAACTTCTTCATGCTGCTGAGTAAGCTGTATCCTCATTCACTGACATGCTTTTGTCTTATTTTATTTCCATCCCCTGGCCAGTTTATTGTGTTGCAACCTTCAGTGTTGTTATTTTGGGGATTTTGTGAAACTGTACAGTGGTTCAGTGTTAAATCCTGGAATCTCTTTCGACACAGCAGCCCAGAGAGGAGATTTTTTTTTTTGAATTATTATTATTTTTATTTGATTGTGTCTGTTGAAAAAAATTGTATTTCCTTCTCCTAACTCCATAAATTCCCCAAATGATGATAATTCTAGAATAAAGAGATTGACTTCAATTAGATCTTGCCTTTATTTTTTGTCAGATAAAACATTGTAAACATTGCATTAGCAGATCTGTTAATTCAAGTGGTGGATTTTAACTAAACGTGTAGACACATCTAATTTGCAACCTTCTTTCATGGCTGACTATTGTATGTTTGGAGCTTATCTATACAAAAAACATTAGTTCATTAAAGACATTTATTTTATATCACAGTAAGCATGGAGTTGCTCTTTAAGAGTCATGTTTCTGTAGGTATGTTGAGAAAAATCAATTTGTTAGATAATTTTTTTTCTCTCCTTACATAATCCATTTTGTAATATAATGTAATGATTTTTGGCCACCACGCTGTTTAAAAAAATGGCTATTTGTTTATTTGCGTTTTAGATGATTAGTAATAAAATAATGGATGTAAATTAGACCTATTTTGTGTGCAGTAATAATAACTTTCTTATAATCTAGTTTCTTATTATATTATTATATTCTATTTACTATTAAAATGCAGCGTATAGGTATAAATAAAATTAATTTATTAATTTATGTTTCTATAGGACAAGAACAGCATGTTACACAGAATACGCCCAGATGGGTTGCCAAGTAGTAGTTACATCCCTCTTTAATCAGAAAGCTTAGTTGCGGTTATTTATTTTCATTCTGGCGTCCACATAGCATTCTTGTTTGCTTGTTTTTTTTATATTTATTTATTCATTTTTTGTTCATCTGTTTTTCTGGTCTTTCTAAAATGCTACTGCCAATTATCTTCCAGCGGTAAGCTGCAGTGCAACCAGAGGTGCTCGAAAGTGCACTTTCCAGGAACCTGGCAACCTAAAGGCAACCCGTGGTCTTTCCTCCTCTGCGGACTCATTCGCCATTTTGAGCCAGTTTTTCTGGGTGACCTACATTCGGTGAACAACCTGCAACGTGAGCAACACTTCAAATTTTCCTCGGCAAGAAAATAACAGGTAAGCATGCCAGAAATACGGCGTCGATGGACTTCAGCATATTTTCGTGTGTTTAACGCTGTCGATGTGACGTTATTTCTGTCAGCAGCGACTGTTTTCGTGTCTAACGTTAGCTCCCCTCGGCTAACTGAAAGCGACCTCGAGGCGAGGTAGGAAAAAAAAGAAAAAAAAATGACTGAGAGCAATTTTTTGCTAAAAAAAAACCTCAGATAAATTAGTTTTTAAAAACTGAAGCTTTGAAGCGTACTATACTCACTAATTTTTTAAATTCTGTTTAGCTTTTTAGGCGACGGTGAATTTACTAACGCATTGCGCAGTAACAACAGGGTTTTGTTTGCAAAGGTCTGACGGCTGATGCAGGCCCGAAATCCATCCGTGCGTTCCTTTGCCATAAATGGGCAAAAATGGCTTGCACTTGTATTTTACTTTTATATCGGGGGAGCCAACAAATTACCGTTTATATCTGCGCTGCTTTATTTGCGTTTTGACTTGCAGTAAATGTCGCATTTTTGTTTTTTTAGACCGGTTAGTCGACTCTAAAGTGAAACGGTTTTGACCAACAGGAAAACTCCTTGAACGGTTTTCATCGTGTTTGACTCATAAGCTTTAAGTAAACCTGATTAAAATTGAAAGAAAAAAAAAATCCTTCAGAACGTAGTTATGTCGGTCTACTTTAAAATTAAAATCGAACGTACTTTAATGATCCCAAAGTGAAGTAAAACATCAAAAATATGTAGATATTGCGATATTTATGTGAGCGAAATACCGTGGAGACTTTCCTTCACGGAAATCGGTACGTTTTTGTATCGCTTAACTAATAAATTTGCATAAAATAATTGGGATGATCAAATTAACCACAGTTGGATCGAAGCACAATTTTGATTTGGAGTACTCCAGTTGTGGTTTTGGTTTTATTGTATGCCTTTTGAATTTTAAAACAACAATGCCACTTGAAGAGGGATGTGTGCTACTATGCTAACTTCTAAGCTGTGTGAGAGGAGAGTCAAAGGAGGAAATAACTTGTTGTTTACGTGAAGGTTTTCTCACCAAGATAATGATTAATTTATGTCCCAGGAGGAGGGACAAACAATACACAACAATAACAAGATGTTCTTGTTATGTTTTCCACACGTAAAAATATTATTTTTTTGCCTTTCTCCGTTTGAAAATGTCTTTTTTATCTCTTTGCAGCAAGGAGCAGCAACATGAGTAGCAGTCGTGTCTTCATCGGCCATTTGAGCACACATGCGAGAGAGAGGGATGTGGAGAAGTTTTTCAAGGGATATGGACACATAAGAGAGATCAACTTGAAAAACGGATTTGGATTTGTGGTGAGTGTGGCAAGTCCTTTGTGGTACATTTTGATTTTGACTCTGAGCTTAAGGGAAATAACGCTCTCCCGTTCTTGTCAGGAATTTGATGACCACAGAGACGCCGACGACGCCGTGTACGAGCTGAATGGGAAAGAACTGTGCAGTGAAAGGTAAGCGGATTTCCCTGTTCTGCCGCCTGTTGGGAGTTGTTTACGAGCGCAGGGTCATCTGAGTAGCTGCCAGGCAGTTAATGTTATCTGCTTCATGAGTCAGCAGGTTTTTCTTCTTTTATATGTTTGCGTGACCTTCCACTTTAATCCGTTGTTTACATTTTCTTCCTCAGGGTCACCATTGAGCACGCCCGCTCCAGGAGAGGCAGAGGAGGCGGCGCCCCGGGAATGGGACGTTTTGGCGGCGGTGGTGGTGGCGGCGGCGGCGGCGGCTATCGCCAATCCCGCAATACCAGAGCTAGGTAGATGAGACTCAGGTTGCCATTTTGTTTCATAAAAGTTAGATGATTGTTTTCTATCTCAGTAAAACCACCAATTCAAACCAGACCGTATGATTTGGTCTATTAAAAATAAGTGAATTGTGTACAGCTGACACGATTAACTGTGATGAGTCGATTATTGAAATATTAGTCATAACTGATTTAGTTATCGATTTGTCGTTAACTGGAGTGTGCATTGTGTGTATGATTCATTAAAGGAGTTCTGTTATTGCATTTTAGGGAATAAGATGTTTATTTTCTTATTCAAATAAAAATGTTTATTTTCTAAATAAAAAAGGAATTGAATTAATGTGCATCTTTTAAAGTATTTTTTAAAAATATTGCATAAAAAAATACTTAAGAATTTAAGTGATAAATATTAAGAATGTGCGAATTTTGTGAAACATTTTATCAATTTCTAAAATGATAATTAACCGCAGGACCATAAAAGAGCAAATGTATATTTTCCAGACAGGCTTGCTTAAAATTGTGGCATATTCTAAGCCTTTTGGCTGTATGGACTGGAATAAGCCCATTTTTCCACATCTGACACCAATGCAAACATTGAAACAATTCTTAGAAAAAACACACACACAAAAGTGAGCAAGAAATGAATTAATTTAACAGAAAATTGTGCTGAAAACCAAGAAGGCTACTGTTTGACATAGAAGTGAGTGTTTTTAGTTTTAAGTCCAATGTGCAACATTTCTCTGCAGGTATGGCCCTCCCATGCGAACTGATCACAGGCTAATTGTGGAGAACCTCTCGTCCCGCGTCAGCTGGCAGGTATGAGATCACATAATTACATTAAACTCAATTTACTATGACATATTGCCACGTGATTTAATAGTAAAGTAACAGTTTATTTTATAAGTATTCTATTAAAAATTACACATTTTTGTCAAATTGGCAAATGTTTTTTTTTTTTTTTTTTTTCATTTTAGTGTCATTTACTCCAAAAATCATATTACTGCTGCTGCTAAAAAAAAAAAAAAAAAATCATTTTATTTTTTATAAGCAGCTCCTCTGGTATGGTTTCCTGTTTTGTAAATCAGAGGTAAATAGACATCCTCCACTTGGGGGGTCAGAAGTATGTAGCGCCCTCTGCTGGTTGTTTTTTTTCTGAATAGTGTCCATCTGGTGCCTTTCCTTACACGCAGTTGCTGCCGGTCTAAAGTCTTGGCTGGTCCCCCGTAGCGGTGAAAGTGGTCTAGCGCAGGATACGGTAGCCTTAGGAGGGCCGTAGCCACAGTCTGGAGGTTCTGTGGGCTGGCGTTCCCGGCTGCAGGAACCCCCACGCCCCCCTCAAATCCACGGCCTCCCACAGTCTCTGTTGGGGCTCTTTCTGTGGCTGGTGGAGCTGGGGGGTGTTGAGTCGGGCACACATCACACCCCCCTACTTTCTCTCTGGTGGTTCCTTACTTGAGGAGGCCGGATGCTGATGCAAGGCTGAGAGCATTTCTCGAGGGCGTTTCTCAAGGGCTTAACACTGCATTGGTTCCCATTTGCTATTTGGACAAGTGGCTCTATGCTATTATCTACCTTGGTTTGGAGCGGTAAGTAGCATAAAACTCATGTGATTGGGTTTTTTATTATTATTATTCTTTTTAATAGCGGGTGGTAGAAGGGTGGAGATTTAGTCTCGAAAAGGAATCTTGTAAACAGTTGTCCCCCTTTTTTGTAAAGTCATTTGGTGAATGTAAAAAAAAAGTCCCTACTTTAAAAAAAAAGAAGAAAATAGTCATTTTTATTGTAAATTCAACACACAATCTGTTTATCCCACAAATTTCTACAGAAATTTGACTTCCAAAAGTCGAGTATTGGCATCAAATTCCTCAAAAGTTTTGCCTGTTTTCTGTGAAGTGTTTCACCGTAAGGCTTAATGTGGTCTTTGAATTGATAAAGCAGTAAATTTCAGTTTCTGTAGCAGAAAAGGGCAAAACCTGTCCTCAGATCATTTTTATGGCTCTCTTGTTTACACGCCCTCTAGAATAGGATCTGATACAAATGTGCTAGAAATGGGTTACTCATGTTTCTGTTTGATGTTTTTATTTTTTTGGTAATTTCTTAAGTTCCAGGTTCGAGAAGGCTCTCAGTGACGCTTCGTGTCTAATTCCCTTATTTATTCAGTGTTGTGCTCTTGAAATAGGACCTTAAAGACCTGATGAGAAAGGCAGGTGAAGTTACCTTTGTGGACGCACACAGACCCACTAAAAATGAAGGGTGAGTTAAGTCGTTTCACTTCTTGTTGGCGTTTTTATTATGATGTCTCGTAGATAAATGACTATCGGTTTGAATGCAGAGTGGTTGAGTTTGCATCTCGTTACGATATGAAGAACGCCATCTCCAAACTCGATGGAACAGAGCTGAATGGACGCAAGTTGAAGATGTTTGAGGACAGTAGGAGGTGAGACATTTTATGTTGTCTGTTTTGTTTTTTTTTTTTATCCTGTGGTGAAAATGTGCCCGTCGTTACATGAACGTTGTCGTTTCTGTTCCACCACCAGGAGCCGTTCTCGCAGCTACTCGCGTTCCAGAAGCCGCTCCAGGAGCAGATCCAGGAGCCGCTCCAGGAGTCGTTCCAGGAGCCGGAGCCGCAGCCGCTCCAGGAGCCGCTCCAGATCTCCCAGCCGCACCCCAGAGAAGAAGATGTCAGGAGGGAGCAAGCCTGCAGCTAATTCCCCATCCAAGTCCAAATCTCGCTCCAAATCCCGCTCAAAATCCCGCTCCAAATCCCGCTCAAAATCCCGCTCCAAATCTCGTTCCAAATCCCGCTCTCCCGCTCCCGCTCAAAACGGCAAGGCTCGCTCCAGATCCCGATCTCGCTCGCGTTCCCGCTCCGCCTCAGCAGAGAGCAAACACTAAGATGGCTGCAGCTGCAAGTCATAGGATGGATTCAGAGTAGTTTTCCTAGCGAGCCTCACCTGGCGGCTTGTTTTTTACTGAAGGGGAGAAAAGAACCTTTAAGTGGGGTCTTTTTGAAGGCAAGAAAAAAAAATTGTACAAATTTAGCTTCTTTTTTTTTTTTTTTGAGTGCTTTTTAGTTTTGAATCTTCTTCCACTGAGTGAAATTATTGTAAACAAAATTTAAACAATTGATTCTTCTGTCCCCTTCATATGAGTGGCTATACCCATTATCTGCTTACTGTCCCTCACCAGATTTACTTTATTTCCCAATCTTTGTAGGAATACCATCAATTCCCTTAAACTGTTGAGAATATAAAGGTATAGATTTGGTCTTAAACGTTGCTCATTCTTCTGATGAGGCATCTATCTGTGATTGAAATCCAGTCATTTGATATTCGAACATAAGAGCAGTTCAGCTGGGGATTTAGATTTTTTTTTTTTTGTTTCTCAAAACTGGCCATCTGGAATTTAGTTTTCCTAAGCGTCTTACTTTTAGTCAGTGTTTTCACTGATGTCTTTTTTTTCTTCTGGGAATCGGGAGTCTGACACAAGTTTGCTTGTAAATGTTGCATATTTAGATGCTGATGAATCTATATATTGTAATTTTTTTTTCTTTGTTTACTACGTGTGTCTAAAAAACCAATGCACACAATGTTTCCATTTTCAACTCAAGTCTTTCATTAACTGTGAAATGTATCAATCCCTCTGTCCTACACTTATTGTGGAGTACAAATGTAAACTAAGTTCATTTTCCTTTTGCTTTGTTATAAAAATATTAAACGTCAGTGTACTAAAAAAGAAAAGTCTTCGGCTACATATTGTCACGTTTTTACAGAAAAATGTATCCCGATACAAAAAAACAAGATCTGATCGAAGATTATCTTAATATTAAAATACTTTGGCCAGGACTGATTGAAAGACTTCAATGTTTCAGGAAACAACCTCGGACGATACAAAAAAAAAAGCATACGTTTTTCAGGCGATATTTGTGTCTCCTTATTGCAAATCTGAGACAAATCTCGCTTTAGCCGTTTTGAAGGGAAGCTCGAATGGGTCAACCTGGAAAGTAACCGGAATGGGCAAGTAAATGCCAACACTGCCAGCCAATAATCTAGTTGAAGGAAGTTTTAGTTCTAAATGTGGGAACAAAATGTTCTGACTCGTATTGGAAAAAAACTCAAATGTTCCACCCCTAAGAATAAAACCAAACATCCTCTTGAGAGACCTTGAATACATTTCTGATTGTCCTTCATTGTTGTACATTAAATGGCCATTGTTGACAAGCCATGACAATAATCTGTGGATCAATATAGTAACAGCTAATCCGACTAGACATAGTAATCCCTGAAGGGATTATATCCATGTATGAGAACCTGAAAGGTAGTTAGAGCTGAACATATATGATCGAAAATGAAATGTTTTAAGGTCAAAAATTACTTTTTAGTTTGTTTTTTCCCCCCTCCCAAATTCACTGCAAAGCTCGTGATCACCACAGGGTGGCAGCACTCGCTTGGGTCAATGAGTGAGAAGCTTTGATGGCTTTCTAAATGACCTGTTCTGTTTCCACCATCACAGAGTCATGTGAGGCAGGAAATGTTTTTGAAACGAAGATATTTGGTCGATGAAAACTGATCCAAGTAAACAGATAAAATAAAGAAATAAAAGTTAAAACTCTTCTTCCGGGACTGTACAGGACAGTAGTTTTAACTGCAAAATGCTTGCTTTAAATTATGAACGGCGCACACAAAAATAACTTTGAAAAGTGGTTTGCTTATACATTTTAATTGTATCGCTCGTGTTTGTTTTTCAGCTTTGGTGTAGAGGGAAGTAATCCATAATCTACAGTAGACGTTCAGGAGATGCAGCTATTCATTATATGTATGCAGTTTAACATGACTGCATATGGCAGGTGAAAATCAGATGGATTAACAAACTGCCACACTACAATATAGAGGTTACTATTCATAAGTAACTGTTTGTCCCAACTGCTTCACTGTTGGGACAAATGGCACCATTTATTTTTTATTGTATACGATAGTCAAATTGGGGCAAAAATATAGTAGAACGTAATAAGGTGTACTGGATGGACATTTTTCTGCAGAATCACTCCTTGTAATTCCATCCTGTCCTCTGATCCAGAGAGCTTTTACTACCAGCCAGCACCGCATATCCCTGCAGACAAGTGTATGTCGGGTGTTTAGTGCTCCGCTTATGGAGCACCGTTTGTGCCATGAACAAACTACTAGCGTTCTTTAGCTACCTATGGGCATATTGTTGCCCGTTTGGTCCAATATTAATCTCATTTTTACTTCTGACCCTGGAAGACGTTTTATGTTGGAATTTTGGGTGCGAACGCTTGAGATCTCACTACAACCCCAACCTTTTTTCCCCAACATGGCTGTCACATCACATGCATAAAACACAGCGAAAGTTGCGCTTTATCTATGGTGTGACACTTAACAGAACAACCACAGCGTTACCAGCTTATGTCGCTAATATTAGTTAGCCTGGTCACTACACAATTAGGAAATCATGACAGATTTCCAACTTGGTGTTAACTTGAATCTAATCCTACTTCTTTACACACCTATAACAGTTAGTTACCATGGAGACTAAACAGACATTTTTTTCCTATGGTGTCACAGAGACCCTTTTGCTGCTCTCTATAGCATTTATTTTGTGCTCCGCTTTATTAGCCACCCACATTCCACACAGAGTGATTCTGTGTGGAATGTCTTCGGTTTTAACATGTATTTCTTAGCGTGGGGACGTCGCGGAGCGGGTTTCCTTCCTCACGCATCGCGGTGACGGTCTCGCGCTAAGCCTCTCCCACCACCGCTGCGCACGAGCCACCCGTCATACCCACGGACGGACGGCGTGCGGACCGGGCACAACAAGCTCCGCGGTCGAGCTGCTCGGTCCACAGAGCCTCACCGACCCCCGGCGACCCGCTCCGACTGAGAAATGAGCTCGGCGTCCGGCGAACACACGTTGTCGACGTGAGCGCGTGACGACAGTTTCTTCGCGGAAACACACACATTGTCACCTCACGCGCACACACGCGCGCACGCAGACAGACGACCCGCGCGCCGGTTTTGCTGTTTACCAACCGACCAGCTCGGTGTCAGGACGGTCCCACCCGCTGGTACCGACAGCCATGGCGGAGAGGAGCGGCCGGCTGAGTTTCCCCGGGAGCGGGGCTCTCAACCGACCGGTGCCCATGAACCTGTTCGCAACGTGGGAGATAGACGGGTCCTCCCCGAACTGTATACCGAGGTAAGGGCTCTGTCCTGTGTGTGTATGTGTGTGTGTATGTGTGTGTGTTTAAAGTTTAAAGCTCCTGCTCGCAGCGCAGGCTGTGTCATTAGTGAGCGCGCTAACACTGCAGCCGCAGCGACCCTGCTGTCTCATCCTGCCCGCTGGATGCCCATGCAGGCCCTCAGCTGTCTGCAGCACCGAGCCGAGGCGTGCGCAGTGAAAAGGCGTGAATCCCGCTGTGCGGTGGCAGAAAAACTCCTCAGTGCAGCTGCGTGGGTCCATAGGTGGGTGGGTGTGGGGGGTTTCTGCAGGCATCATGGTCCTCCTGTTGGAAGATCACACTTACCGCTGCGAGTTTTAAGTGCTCCAGTTTGATGCGTGAACCAAAAATGCTAAATTAAACGATTTCATTATGAGCAGCTGCACCAGTTGTTAACAAAATACTTCCCACATGGTCTTCTTGTTTTAATCTACTGCGGTTTTCACTGCAAGCCCCAGGTCTCCAGACAGAGTCGCAGCTGCTCTGCCATTAACTTTGTTTGTTTGTTTGTTTGTTTGTTTGTTTATTTATTCATGCATGAAAACTTTCTGCTCAAACCTATAACCAAGAGACGCTTCTGGAGGTTAGAAGACAAAAGAGAAATCGCTAAAAACATGAGCAGATGTGATCTATTCACCTGCTGCACCGGGATTTGCTTCTCATGCGTATCAAATTTGCTGTGCCTAATGAAATGGCAAATTTTGTCTTCTTGATCAAAGTTGTGCTTCTGATCTTATTCCTCGACATTCTTGAGAAGCTCACTGTGAAAGATCAGGTTAATATTTAAGAAAAGGTTCTCATTTCGTTCATGTCCTTTTCTGTCATCTTAAAGCAAAGTTACCCGCCTTGTAACATGTTTACAGTTTGCAAACATATTAACAATTTTGTCCCTTGATCTTATGATTGTGCTTTGCCTGTTGAGACCATCTGAATCCTCCAACTCGACGTAAGCAATTCAACTCTGTTGCGTTAGATGGTTGATGATGCCAGAGCTTGTTATTGCACTAAACGACCTTTCACTCACGCAATTAAACTCCATCTACTGCCTTAAAATTAGCGTTGAAACCTTATTAGTCGAGGTCAGAATGACCTCCCCGTGTCTGACTCAAGAAAAAAAAGCCTTAATTAATGTGGGAATTTGGATGTGTGTGTGTTTTTTTTGTAATTACTATTATTTAATAGTTTTTTTTTCAAAAGTGATGACTCCCTCTTCTTGGCTCCCCCCTCTGTCCTCTTCATTTGACACTTCAGCGGACAGCGCATCGCTTGGCTTTTAGCTGAAACCAGCTCACTTCCAGGAACAGCGTGGCTGTGACATTATTCAGCAGACCGGATGAGCAGATGAAATGCCTCTGTAACTAAAAGAGACGCGCTCGCTCCTCGTCGACCTGTCGGCTCACGCTCTCATCTCGTCCACCAGGCTGCTTCGGCTAGGAGCAGACAGTGAGAAGTTGTCTTTTCCCGAAAGGCCGCAGCCTCGTATTGAGTTCTGTCTGTCAGGGTGGAGACAGCAGGATCCCGGCTTTGTTGAACCTTCGGCTTCCAGTCTTTTTACACTTCCATTTGTATGCGTCCAGAGTGTGACCTTTCACCTCATTCTTCTTTGTCAAACAGCTCGAGTTCAGTCAGACTGGACGGGGAGCATACGTTGACATCAGGTCTCATGTCTTGTCTGAGAATGGCCCAGTCAAAGTAAAGATGTCGGATACATTCAAGAATGTAACCGCGGCTGTTTGTCGGATCAATCTAGGAAAGTACTCTTGTAAATCCTGTCTTTAACTTTATCATCATTTTTGTTGCTATGCTGTAATTTTTTTCCCTCTTTCAAAGAGTATTTGAGACTCTTTAAAAGGATTGTGAGTTTGAAGTATTTTTATTCTTTTTTTTTTATTTCGCAAATTTACTGCACACAGATTTGCAGTTTTCACCAGTCATCGCAACTTTGGACCAAATCTTGTTTGTTTTGTTTGTTTTTGTTGTAGGCCTATTTCCTTCTTTTCTCACCAATCACTGCAACTCGGCTGAATTTTGACCAATCCGGTTGGCCGCCTTCTGATATAACTTTCTGTTTCGCTATGCGTTTCTTGAAAGCCGAACCTGGAAGATGAGAGTGTGTGTGACGCTAAACAATAGCAGTTGCCTTTCTTTTTTTCCCACTTTTTGCTGGTTTGTTTATGGAAAAAAAAATACATTTAGAGAAGTTCTGTAGGATTTGTGTCTACTGTCTAAAAAGTTCATGTTAACTTTTAGAGTTCTCATTTTGTACTTTGACAGCTCCTCAGAACACGGTTTTATTTGCATTATGTTTGCTGTCTCAATAAGCCAATCGAGTTAAAAATCCAGGCCTTTTTGGGGATTTAAAAAAAAATTTTATTGGAAAAGTAAACCGTCAGAAAAGTCTCAACTTTTTGAAAAAGATGTCGTAAAGTCAGCCATTTTAGGCTGCAACAATTCCCCCCAAAGAACTCCACAACGTCCTGAAAGGACTGAACGCCGCGTTTCATTGTGGCATCTTTCTCTGTTCACCTGTTGGGGGTGATGTGGAGTGTTTTGTTTTCCACCACACAAGTGTTTTAGCATGTGAAGTTTAAGTTTGGTCTCATGTGACCAGAGCACCTCCTCCCTCATGTTGGTTGTCAGTCTTGGTAGCTTCTCATTTTCGGATCAGAAGTACCTAACGGTAAATGACGCGTGTCGTGTTTTTGAATGCTTCTGTATGACGATGAACACCGAGCTCCTTACCGCAGTGCAGCGAACTCACCCAGAGCATTTTACAGCCTATAAATGGGTGGAAAAACAAACTGCTGCGTTTGACATTTTAATGTGATTTATTCAATGGCAGCGCAATGTTGTGAACATTTAGTGTTTTATCCTAAATCATTTTTTTCTGGAAGCAACTCAGAACAGGGATCGCATTCTTGGTGCCGTACTTATTCACTGAAGAGTTGCTTCAATACTTAAAAGGTTTGACAGGGTTTGACTGTGTTGTTGGAACGGCAGATGAAATATTTTCATCTGTGTTGTCTAGAAGAAGGAAAAGGAAATAAATAGGGGAACAAAAATGAGACGAATGAAAACTTAGTTTGCACTGCGACCACAGACTTTGATCGCTTGCTGAAATGTTATGTCAATGGTGTCCAAACAAAATCCCCTCTAAGTTTATGAAAAAAAACAGTTTCAAGTGGAGTCAAAACATCTGCGCCGCACCGCTGAAGTGCCTGGAACAGGATTTGCACGAACGTGTCAGTTCTTCAGGAATAAAATCCTCTTTTCTCTGGCATTTACCAAAGTCCCATTAATTTGGATCAGCCAGCTTTCATTTTGATGATTATGACTCGTAATGAAACAAAACGTGTTAAAAATACCTGCAGGCGTGAAAAATGACGGCTTAGTGTGCTCTTTCATCTGTTTTCAGGAACCTTGCACAGGTTGGTATTAATATCCAAACTGATGGGACTTTTGCTGCCCCTTCACGAATGTTTTGAGTCGTAGAGCAACTGCAACCTTAACAAACTCCAAGAGCCAATTTTGCCCTCAGTCCACCTACATTACGCTCGTATAGAGTCGCGAGTGTTGCCTGACCTTTAAAAAACGAAAGACAATTTGTAATTTTGGAAAAATAGCTACTGTTGGAAATGTGTTATTTTGTGAAACGACCACCATTTCATTTCTAGTTTTAGGTCGTAAAATAAGCCAATAATTTAAATTTTACAAAACATGCATGTTACCAAAACATACAGGTTTTGTAAAATCTTTGATGGGATCGAGCTATTGGTGGAAAATGACGGGGAAAAAAAGGCATAAATTCCAACCTAATGACAAGAAAACTACAGGCACATCTCAGTTAATTAGAATATGCTCTTTCTGATGAGACCAGTTGTTCAGACTGAAAGTAGCTTTTTATCAATAGAAACCTTTCAGCAGGTAATAAACATGCTTTTCATCAAGCCTACATTTCTGTATTCAAAATGTGTGATGCAAGGTGATATCAAAATCTAAATGGTCATGTTTTCATTCACTGTAAGCAGAAAGTCATCATCGTTAACAGAAAGAAAGGCTTAGAAACATCAGTTTGTGTTGATTAATCTATATAAAGATTTTAACTAAGGCATTTCAATAAATCGATAACGATACATATTGTGATACACACGTAGTCAATATCAATAAATAATTTTTCTGGGAGAATATTCAATAATTTCATTGTTCTTTGAGCCTGAACTGCACAGCATTCTGGGTAATGTAGGTAGAGGAAATGCTTTAGCCGCTCAACCTCTCTCAGCCTAGCTAAGCTCTTTGGTTACATAGCAACAACCTATTGAGTAACCCGCGCAGCAGCAGTTTCATGTTTCACCACTGTGCCTCAAAACTGCATAAACCTACAAAACGACACAAAGTGAAAACTGTAGACAAGTCAAGCCGAAACTGTCAGATGTTTGGCAGTATTCCAGATATTTAAAACAAACAAAAAACATTTATTATCAATATCGGCTGATATGAAATGCTGATATCTCTATCCGTTTTTCAGCCATATCATCCAGCCCCGCTTTTCACTTAGAGTTACTGAAACAAATGAGCTATTCAATAATATTCCAATTCATTAAGATGCATTAAGATTGTATATATGAAAAAAACATAATTAAAAATCACTGGTATGTTTTTGAGACCTTTTATTCTGTTCAGTGCAAATATTTCAACTGAAAAACTGCTCAAATCCACTTTTTGTTATTATGCATGTATTTAGAAACATTTATGTATTATTTTTAGCCAAGATCATCAAGTGCCACTGCTTGCCGCTCCATCAGACTTGTGTGAGTCATGTGGAAGCGCGCTCCTCACCTGGTGCCATATTGTCTCTATGTTAACGCCGGTCCCCGTGGCGCGGCGGTCTCCCAGGTCCAGACTGTTGGGGTGGGAGGCTTAATGATGGGCTGCCTCTGCATAGATCTCATGTTTCCCAGAGTCACGCTGCGACACGTGC